AAACCTTAACATTGAAGTCTATGGGAGCCCTTAACATTGAAGTCTATGGGAGCATTTAACGTTGAAGTCTATGGGAGCGCTTAACATTGCAGTCTATGGGAGCCCTTAACATTGAAGTCTATGGGAGCCTTTAACATTGACGTCTATGGGAGACTTTAACATTGAAGTCTATTGGAGCCTTTAACATTGAAGTCTATGGGAGTCTTTAACGTTGAAGTCTATGGGCGTCTTTAACACTGAAGTCGATGGGAGACTTTAACATTGAAGTCTATGGGAGTCTTTAACATTGACGTCTATGGGAGCCTTTAACACTGACGTCTATGGGAGACTTTAACATTGAAGTCTATAGGAGTCTTTAACATTGAAGTCTATGGGAGCCCTTAACATTAAAGTCTATGGGAGCCCTTAACATTGAAGTATGTGGGAGCGCTTAACATTAAAGTCTATGGGAGCCCTTAACATTGAAGTCTATGGGAGCGCTTAACATTAAAGTCTATGGGAGCGCTTAACATAAAGTCTATGGGAGCCCTTAACATTAAAGTCTATGGGAGTCTTTAACATTGAGGTCTATGGGAGCGCTTAACATTAAAGTCTATGGGAGCCCTTGACATTGAAGTCTATGGGAGCCTTTAACATCGAAGTCTATGTGAGCCTTTAACATTGAGGTCTATGGGAGCCCTGAACATTGACGTCTATGGGAGCCTTTAACATTGAAGTATATGGGAGCGCTTAACATTGCAGTCTATGGGAGCCCTTAACATTGAAGTCTATGGGAGCCTTTAACATCGAGGTCTATGGGAGCCTTTAACATTGAAGTCTATGGGAGTATTTAACGTTGACGTCTATGGGAGCCTTTAACGTTGGAGTCTGTGGGGGCCTTTAACATTGAAGTCTATGGGAGCCTTTAACATTGAAGTCTATGGGCAGCCTTTAACATTGAAGTCTATGGGCAGCATTTAACATTGAAGTCTATGGGCATCCTTTAACATTGAAGTCTATGGGCAACCTTTAACATTGAAGTCTATGGGAGCCTTTAACGTAGAAGTCTATGGGAGCATTTAACACTGAGGTCTATGGGAGCCTTTAACATTGAAGTCCATGGGAGCCCTTAACACTGAAGTCTATGGGAACATTTAACACTGAAGTCTATGGGAGCATTTAACACTGAAGTCTATGGGAGCCTTCAACACTGAAGTCTATGGGAGAATTTAACACTGAAGTCTATGAGCGTCTTTAACACTGAAGTCCATGGGAGCCTTTAACATAGAAGTCTATGGGAGCCTTTGACATTGAAGTCTATGGGAGCATTTAACATTGAAGTCTATGGGAGCCCTTGACACTGAAGTCTATGGGAACATTTAACACTGAAGTCTATGGGAGCCTTTAACACTGAAGTCTATGGGAGCATTCAACACTGAAGTCTATGGGAGAATTTAACACTGAAGTCTATGAGCGTCTTTAACACTGAAGTCCATGGGAGCCTTTAACATTGACGTCTATGGGAGCCTTTAACATTGAAGTCTATGGGAGCCTTTAACATTGAAGTCTATGGGCAGCCTTTAACATTGAAGTCTATGGGCAGCCTTTAACATTGAAGTCTATGGGAGCCTTTAACATTGAAGTCTATGTGAGCATTTAACATTGAAGTCTATGGGAGCCTTTAACGTTGAAGTATATGGGAGCCTTTAACATTGAAGTCTATGGGAGCATTTAACATTGAAGTCTATGGGGGCATTTAACATTGAAGTCTATGGGAGCATTTAACATTGAAGTCTATGGGAGCATTTAACATTGAAGTCTATGGGAGCATTCAACATTGACGTCTATGGGAGCCTTTAACATTGAAGTCTATGGGAACCTTTAACATTGACGTCTATGGGAGCCTTTAACATTGAAGTCTAGCTCCGAGTTCACTCCGCTGCGTGAAAGTTCCACCTCGAGCCAGCGAGGTTGTGATTGATGGGCCCAGCACTCAGTGGTTCACTCCACTACTTCCATGGTTACTTTGCCCACGAACTTCACTCGCTGATTCTCCCAGCCACGATGGGGACTCGGTCTATAATGTAGGTTTTGTTTGGGTGAGATCGCGTAAATATATCAATGTGTCGTTAAACCTGCCACCACCCGACACAGCCAATTAGTAAGGTTTGTCACGTAAACAGAACGTGGAAATTCGTTACTAGTGCAGCACACCGGTGTGTTGGAGAGCAAATCCACAACATTTACAATCTGAGTACGACGTTTCGCCAGTAATTACAACTAGCTTCATCAGGCCGACAGCCAGGACTCGGTCTACCGAGCTGACTTGTTTCACCTCTCCCGTCCTGTGTTCAACCACAATGCAGGTCACAACAACACTTACTCACCCACTCACTCACCACCCTGCAGGTTACAACAACACTCACCCACTCACTCACCCACCCACTCACCACCCTGCAGGTCACAACACCCACTCACTCACCCACTCACTCACACACTCACTCACCCACCCACTCACTACACTGCCGGTCACCTCACTTCCCTTTCTGCTTCATCCCTCGCACTTCTCCACTTTGAAATTCCCTCCTCCCATCATCAGCATCTCTTTTGTGAATGTATTGTAACGCTGCTTAAGCCAAGAAACCCCTCAAGTGTTTATCCTATTACACATCCAGTGGTGCTGATTGTTGCTGCTTGCTGGGAATGTTGCACCGTTCAGCCTCTGTCTGTGTTCAGCAACCGTGTTAATAATGATCTGCACTCACAGCAGGGCACTTGGTGGTGCAGTGGTCTCTGTGTGTGTGTGGCGCAACAACAACAACTCGCCACGCACTTGCACGTAGTAGAATCCCTTCGACATCGAGGAGGGGACAGCGTAGCAAACATGGAATGGCCATCATTGCCCCAACGCCTTGCGCGAGGTCGTTACGAGTGTGGCTCATCAGGGAGACAAAGTGCAGATCTCTGAACGATAGCTGGGCATTCTAGATTTGAAGTTTTCGTGACTGCAAGGATCCATGCTCTTTGGTTCTTTCGGTAAAGTCACGTAGGTAAAAAAATAAAAAATAAAAAATAACGACGTTTCGGACGCAACACAAGCGTCCGTCATCAGGTGGGACAATCACAGTAAAAAACAGTTGCTGAAGTAGGCAAAAGAGCTGCTGGTTTAATTTATTTTTTACCTACGTGACTTTACCGAAAGAACCGAAGAGTATGGATATCTGGGCAATTGCAGCCTCCTTTTACATTGGACAGATTCTGTAGTAATATTATTCTTGTATACAGATCGACCATGGAATTTGTTGAAGTGTTACGATCGACAATAACTTTGTTATATCCTTACTCTCCCAAAAATATACTTATATATTTATATATGTACACTGTCCTGTAGTTGAATATCAGAGGTCTAATCTCACGTTATGACGGGCAGGATGGTCATGGCGGTTTTTTTGTTACATAAATCCTTAAATGAATAAAATCACCAACTTTACATAATATCTTGTGAGGCCAATCTTCATACCAATTGCACAGGGGTACAACTGCACTCGTAATAATCATGGTCACTGCACTCTCCTTAAAACGTTGCTGAGCAGTGCGAGTCGGACGCACATGATGGTTTGAATGGCTCGATTGATTCAAGGCAGTGGTTCTTAACCTGGGGGGGGGAATCACCCACTGGGGGTGCGAGATGCCCCTTCTGGGAGGGGTGGCGAGAGACGTGGCAAGATTGTTTTTTTTTTTAAAGATAAACCATCGAAACACAAATCAAGCACGGAGCACTAAGTAACAACTTACTTTGTTTCATCAAACCCTCCATGTGGCTATTAACGTTTTACATTTGTAGTTTCTTTACGATGAAGAGCCAAAGGGGTGCACGGCTGCAGAGTCAAGGTCAAGAACCGCTGAGTTAAAGGGTTTCATTGACGTGCTCACGACCACCGCTGGGGGGGGGGGGCCCGCCCCCTCTGCCTCCCCCCATTAGCGTCACCCCCCGCCCACTGGGGGGCCCCCCGCGGTGTCCACTGGGGGGCCCCTCTTGGCCGAGGCGGCGCCAGGGGCGACCCGTGAAGCACGAGGTGCACGTCTCTGCCTCTCTCTCTCTACATCGCGCGAAGTCGTGGGGACGTGGTAACGAGGGCTGCGTATTCATCATATTGTCGTGATCGGGCCAATCATTTATTTTTTGGTATCTTTTTTTTTATCGAACCTCACCTTCGCGAAGATGTCATTTCCCGGAAATGCTTCGATGTAAATAAAATGTATAATCCATGAGAATGCATTGAAGCCACCGAATCAACAACAACAAAAAGTTAACTATATATTTAACCATGGGGATTGTAAGGACGTCTAAAACAATTAAATGTTTCGTTTGTGTATCGTCCACACTGCGCTCTTGGTACGCTTCCTTCAAGGCACCACGTTTAGGAACTAGGCACAACCAGTCACAGCACATCACTCATTCAATATCACCCCACTCATACAACACACAGCTCCACTAGCTCGTACACTGATACCCATCACTGTGCACTATACGCTACACGGCTAGAAGCCACAAATATTCCCCATTGGGAACCCCAAAAACCCCCAACACCGTTCCCTCCGCCTTGGAACAGCAACAACCACAACATCAACAAGTCATTTAGCATCTGCACATGATCACCACACACACGCACACAAAGATCCCCCATGTAGCCCTAACAGACTGTTGGAGCAAGTGCTGTTAGCGAGCACCTCTGAAGCCTGGCACGGCACACGAGGGGGTGGGTGGCCAGCACCACGCCCGGCCGCCTTTATCTCCCTCGTGGCGATAGTTACTACACACACCGCACCAGGTACTCATTTGAGGTTGGGTCTACCTAGGGGAGGGCCAGGATCGGTTCAGATAATCGTCACCGATGTTGGCCGTGAGCGGGAATCGAACTCGGGTCGCCGGTTTCGTAGCGCAGCGTGGCGCTAACCACTACACCACCGCTCCCCACAGCCGCACACACAGACGCGCACACAGACGCGCACGTAAGCACCCGCCACGTGGGGTCGGCGTGGCGGTAGTAGCAGAAGTTGTCCATGATCCACTTGTAGATGGAGGCCAGCGTGACCTTGCTCTTGTGCGTGGAGCGCATGGCCATGCAGATGAGCGTGGCGTACGAGTAGGGCGGCTTCACGCTGGCGTCCGTGCGGTAGTCGACCTCGTCCGCCACGGGGCTGGCCGCTCGCCCCCCTCCCTGCTGCTCCCCGATGCCCTCCCTGCTGCGACCGCACGCCGGGCGCTGCGGGGTGCACGCGGGGGTCCCCCTGGCCCCCGCCGTGTCGCCGGCCGGAGGCGAGCACGGCGCCGGTCCCGACCTCTGCTGCTGCTGCAGATGCTGCTCGTCCTGCTGCAGCAGCAACAGCTGCTGCAACTGCTGCAGGCCGCCGCTGTTGCCACCGTCACCGGGGGACACTTGCGGAGCCCGCAGGCTCGAGCCCTGGATGGAGAACTCTTGGAGCCACTGCAGGCTGGTGAGGCTGTCGTCGAGACAGATCCCACCGCCGCCGTCTCCTCCTGCACCGCTGCTGCCGCCGTCGGCTCTCGCCGCCCCGCGAGCTTCATCCTCGGCGCCGGGGGGCAGAGGCTGCCAGCTTTGTTGGAAGCGAGCGGCGATTTGGAGCAGAGCGGGCATGGGCATGGTTTCTCCTCCCTGGCCACGCTCGATGAACCTGCGGCAGCGCGGGTTTATTTTGCGTCAAGTTTTTTCGTTTTTAACCACCGTGCACACAGACAAGGGAATCGAGACTGCTCGGCGGGGTCGCGTGTAAATGCAACGAACGGCACTAACTGGAACATGTGCCCAAAATTAAGGGTGACCGGCTGCCAAGGCACGTGGTGGAGGAAGCCGTCAAAGGTTCTCGGGCAGGAGGAAGAAACGCGAGGAGATGCCGGTGAACGAAGCGGTTCCAGCCCCCACAAAGCAACGGGCAAAGCACGAGAATAAGAAGGCCTGATGCTTGATTTAGAATCAGCCTTGAGCTTTAATTTAACAGAAGATGCAATCATATCCATGTCATCATTGAAGAGGAGACCACTGGTGTTAAATGGATTCTTATTGGTCAATACAGGTCACCTAATTATCATGATGAGATTTTTATCTTTCTTTGAATACAGATCTCAAGGCCGATCTGAAAACACCACGACATGAAGCAAAACACACCTGATCAAATGCCACGTTCTTGAACGTAAATATGTAACCAGTAACAAAGATACTAAAGTACAAAAAACCGGTAAACATTGCAAATACGTGCTAGATGCTTTACATGTATGTGATATAATTAATGAAAGTCCACAATGTAATTGATCACGTAAGTATAAATGTGTCGTGAACCCACCACCACCCGACACAGCCAATGAGTGAGGTCTGTCACTAAACAAAACGTGGGCAATTAGTTTTCTACTTTAGTCCACCGCCGGTGTGCTGGAGAGTAATTCCACAACATTTACAGTTCGAGTGCTGTGAGGTTTCGCTGGTAATTAGATCCAGCATCATCGTGCGATTTTGCCAGAATTTCTATTTTCGCAATCTAACCCCCCCAAAAAACCCTTCATTATGAATAATATTGATCACGAAAGCCTACGTGTTAGACATAAATCCATCCACGTTGCCTGCCCATGCCATGTCATTCGTGGGGGTTGTTGACCATACCTCACCCCGCTGGTCAGAGGGGATTTGTAAAGTGGGAGCGGCACAGGGCAATTATGATATCACTCGCCACTGATGTTAGCCACGGCTGGGAATCGAACTCGAATCGCTGGGCTCGTAACGTATTGCACTCACCGCTGCGCCACCACTCCGCCAGGAGAAACAATCATCATATACATGATAATGAGGTTCCAATAGTGCATCATATACATGTTGCGATGTTAGTTGTAGTTACTGGCGAAACGCCGTACTCAGGTTGTAAATGTTGTGGATGCACTCTCCAACACACCGGTGGTGCTGTACTAGTAACAAATTGGCACGTTCTGTTTACGTGACAAACCTTACTAATTGGCTGTCGGGTGGTGGCGGGTTTAACGACACGTGTTGTATATATTTACTCGATCTAACCCAACACACCTCTATTATGGATGATATCGGTCGGAAGAAGCCTACGTGTTAAACGTACATTTAAAAACTCGTGAAATGTTATCGCGCCTAAAAGGAACTCTCCCGGGTGCCTCATTATCTCCACCGGTCCGCCCTTGCGCTCTCAGCCGCTGCTGCCTCGACAATCAGAGGCGCTCGATTCGTCGAGGCGACCTCTGGTGCCGGCCAAATCGAATGGTCCGCGGAGAATTGGCCCTCGAGACGTGAACACGGAGAGACGAGGCGCAAAGCGGGTCACGCACGGAGCGTTCCCTGCAACTTGCTCCAGTGACTGGGGCAAGTCGCTCTGGGCTGGAGCGTTGCCTTCAGGCTGTGCAGCAGCAGCAGCAACCAAAACAACTGCTGGCGGAACACGTGTGTGCGAATGACATGTGTCACGGACGTGTCTCGACGCAAACGGACGTGAAGACAACTTTGTGGAACATCACCCAGTTAGGGGTGCTGATGATTGGGCCTTTTGGGAGTTCCTAAGATAGCGATGGCTTTGAAGAATGTACAGAGAGAGTCGTGTTGCCCCTACACTGCTGGTCACGGGGGTTGTTTGGTCATACTTCCCCACGCTGGTCAGTGCGTGTTAGTGACGGCGAGGAGAGGGGGTCGTGTCGGTTCACACTCGCCACTGATGTTAGCCGTGACGAGGAACAATCAACCTCGGGTCGCCCCAGGTGACAACATTAAATCTCGTTCCGACATGGCCTTCATCCAGCAGTGGATTGACAAAAAGTTCGGTAAATATCAAAATATAAAACAATTATTATAGCTACATATGTAGTAGCACCAGCAGCTACATATGTAGTAGCAACAGTAGCTACATATGTAGTAGCAACATTAGCTACATATGTAGCTACAAGCCCCGCACTTTCAAAGGCTAAATGCTTTCAAGCTTTTAAGCTATCAATTCCGGTTTAGTGATTCTGCACTTGCTCTATTAATATAGTACGATATCGCCTTAAACTTTTATAAACGACTGGGTGTTTAAGGTTAGCGATTTGACGTATTATCCGGCTGCACAGCGAATGAATAACTACAATTACTTTACCATGCAAGTAAAAAATGTGTGTGTTTAAATATTTAAGTGGGTTTTTTTGTTTAGGGCCCCTTTATAACGCATGCTACAAACCCCGCACTAGCTTAATCCGGCACTGGTGGAGATGGCAACGTTCATTGCGGATGTTATCGATCCGACCGCTCCCCAAGCCGCCCGCCTCCAACACGTGCGGACTGAGAGCCGACTCCGTGCCTCTCCGTACGCGTGGCTCGCGATGATTTCTCGTGCCAGAGCTCAACCACGACCGCTCGGCACAGATGAAGTGACTTCGTTTAAAAGCACGTGTCTGCTCCAAGTCGCACCACGTGTGTGTGTGTGTATGTAGAGAGACGAGCTGCCCATGGATTTCTTAGAATTTCCCACGAAAGATGATGCGGTTGCCTCTATAAACGAGTGCAACACATGTGGACCAAGGCAAAGGTGTAAAGAGAGTTATCACGCGATGGCGATGATGATGCTGCTGCTGATGATGACGATGATAAAAAGACGCAACATTCAACTTCCCCTCCCGTATACACAAAGGCAGGGAAGCATTTGCATGGCAGGCTAGTTGCAGGCGTATCTTCCTCTTGGTACATTGTTATATTGGAGATCGGAAAGGCATGCGGTGATATGTGACGTGTAAATCTTCGTCTTATCTCAATGTCCGTTGATCTTATTCGGCGATGATAGACACTGGGCACAACTATTCAGGCACGGTATGAACGACGCGCTGCTAGACGCGACGTACTTCAAGTGTGCCGCAATGACTCGTTACCATATCACACGAAATATCTGCTACACTCACCGTAGCCTAAACCTGCCACCTCCGATGAGCATAGTTGGCTACGTACGGCGCGAAAGAAGTTCAACGTACAATACATATGAACACGACCATTCCTGAGAAGAAAAAAAGCTCACGGTTGTAAAAATGTAATCGCGTATTTGTAACAACTTTGTAAAGTGCACACACGTAATTTAATAAAACATCTTCCAGTGTGCATATGTGTGTGTGTCACTTACACCAAAGCCGGATTATACATTGCAAATCAATGGGATTACAAAAGGCGTACGATAAGCGCACAGTTGGAGAAAGTGGCTCCACGGCATGGGATGATTCAGAGCGCCGTGTCATCTCCGTTCCGCTATCGAGGCATTAGCGCTTTATCCGCCACTCGAGACGGCTTTGGGTAAGAGGCGCTATCTGATTCTATCACGGGTTCAACACTCACACGCGCCCGTGTGTCACCACCACCGCCACCGCCGCTGCTGCTGTCATTCTCACGCAGTCCTCACCTGTGACAAGGACAAAGCTGTCGCGCGTTTCTGCGTGGCGGAGGATGATCTGCGGGCGCTGATGAAGATTCTGGAATTCCGTTTCACCCCTCCTCCTCCTGCTGCTGCTGCTGCTGCTGAGTGCGTTTTGAGAGGCGCTCAATCCACCACCACCAGCGATGCGCCCTCCTCCACTCTACTCCTCCTCCTCGTGCTGCTTGCTGGCTTGTCGCAGGCGTTGTGCAGTGTAACCTAGGCAGCCCGGGCAGCTTTAATAGGACGAGCACACACGTGGTTGTGGCGGTGGGGGGGAAAGTCGCTCCTCCTGCCCATTGAGCCACAGCGCTGTCCAATGCGACGAGAAGCCACGCCAAGCGAACGGAGCGGTGCTGGAATTCACGGTGGAGTCTTCATTGGCTACAACGATAACATCGTCAACCCCCCCCCCCCCAAACCAGCCATGATCATTCCGCTGCTGGATGAAGGCCTCCCCCTTCAAAAGCCATCGTCAGCTACGAAAACTCGGCCCTGCGATGCAGCGCTTTGCCAGGCACCTGCACGCGAGATAAATTCGGCGCTTCGTCTTTCGCGGTGGACGTTCCTCTCCCTGGAGCGTCCCTCACCCCTCCTGTGACTGACACTCATTCTCAGTCTCGCCCACAAGGACATCGTCACCCCTCCTGCCCAAGCACATTGGAGGTTGAATCGACCTAGGGGAGGCCCAGGACCATTTGTTTTTAACAGAGACCATCATACCTCTGACCTGCTTGCGTCATTTGATCCACGTGTTCCTCTTTCTGCCTCTTCAATTCGAAATGGGCGTCTCTCCCGGGTGATTCTTCACGCAGTTTTGACCTTTCATTAAAAACATTTTGTATGAGTTTCCATTCTTATGACCAATCTTACCACGCATTGATTAAAGCTGTCTTCTTAGACACAATGAAACACAATGTCCTACACCTCCATCCTACCACAGCTTGGCTTTCGAGACGTAATCGTCAGCACATGTTTTGGGTATGCAAATTCTGGACTAGATTCGCTATTCTGCGTCTCTTGTAATGAATATTGCTGCAGGACATGCCAATTGCTCTCCAGGTATAACACACCGTGACATCGTCAACGCCTGCTGATCTGGAGATCCATTGGCGGCACGCGCAGTAAAACAAACGTACTCCAGGTGGCCTGAACAAAGACAAAGATCCCCCGTATAGCCTTAACAGACTTTTGGGGCAAGTGCTGTTAGCGAGCACTTATGAAGGCCAGAACGGCAGCATCACGCCCGACCGCCTTTGTCTCCTTAAGTAGCGATGTTTACACACCACATAGGTACTCACTTGAGGCCAAGTCGACCTAGGAGAGGCCCAGGACCGATTTATACAATCGCCACTGATGTTGACCGTGAGCGGGAAGGAACTCGGGTCACCAGGTTCGTAGCACAGCACGCTAACCGCTGCACCACCGCTCCACACCTGAACACGCACACACAAACACGTGGAATCTGTGGCTCAAATTATTGTAGACAAAGAATGTGATTATGATAGACTCCTTGAACATCATCATCCCAACAGCAGCTCCAGCCACGATCGGCTAACGATGAGATAAATCGCCACGGAAGCTCGCCCGTGTGTCTCAATAGGCACTCCAGGAGACGCTAATTGTTCAGAATAATGTCCCAAGTTTTCATTGAATGAGGCTACGATTGACAACAAATCTCGGTGCCGTACCTCACGGGTCTTGTCTCTGCGTTGTCTCTAATCACAGGAGTGTTCCTGCTGAAATCCACATCACGGCGCGAGCACTACGTTACACATTGCGCCGCTGAACTGGTTGTGTGTGCACGCTACATTTACCATTAGTTTAATCACACGCAAAGCCAATTAGGACCAGTTATTTTAAGCGCTAAGTTAAAGTCTCTTGTTTATGACTGCTTGTGTGGCAATGGTGGGGAGGGGCGGCCTAATGGTGATCTCGCTACACTGTGAACCGGCAAATCTGAGTTCGATTCCGTGGCCACGGCTAACATCAGTGGCGAGTGGTGTCTGAACTGGCCCTGAGTGGTCCACCCTTAATTCTAGAATGAAGCTGGCTACCACATTCAGACAAGCCCCTCCCCCCCCCCCCTTAACTTGTATTTAAGAGCTTGTCTCTTGGATTTTCCTTCACTTAATACAGTAAATTCAGCTGTGACGGTTCCAACCGATGACGGAGACTTGTGTTGCCTCCGAAACGTCGTGATTTATTATTTTATTTCTATTATTTCCATTATTTATTATTTATTTTATTTCTTACCTACGTGACTTTACCGAAAAAACCTAAGAGTATGGTCCACCCTTACCAACCCTCACCGCGTGACCAGTGCGGTGAAGTATGACCAAGCAACCCTGATGAGCGGTGAGGAATTCATCCAGCAGTGGAGTGAGTGTGCGAGTTATTACGTGCGCTGCGCTAGGAACTTAGCGAGCCGAGTTCAATTTTTTCGCTCACGGCCAACACCAGTGACGATTATCTAATCTCCGATTAGCACGCTTGGCGACATACGGTGCGAAAGAAGTTCAACATAAATACATCGCCACCGGGGAGACAAAGGCGGTCGGGCGTGGTGCTGGCCACCCATTCCCACGTGGTGCTACTCGCTAACAGCACTTGTCCCAGCGATGTGTGGAGGCTATAAGGGGAGAATCTTTGTCTTTGTGGGAATAGGGGCCGTCCATAAATGGCGTCACGCACCTAGGGGGGGGTCAGACATTTGTGACGATGCGTGACGAGGGGGGGGGTGTTTGAGAAATGTGACGTCACATAAAAATGCGCAACTTTAAATACATATAGACAACACGTTCTACTTAATTAAATAGACTTTTTAATAAATGTTTTCACCTACAAAAATCGTCCAAAATCGCGTGACGTCATTTATGGACGGCCCCAAAGGAGCACCTCTTGAGTAACTCGTGGTTAGAGTTTGTGAGACGGCTGTTGTCTAAATGGACCATACTGACCAAGTGTGACGAAGTCACCCCCACGGCCGGTGATGGCGTGGGGAGCACCTCATCCAGCAGTGGATTTACAAAAGGCTCGTGCATCTACAAATGTTAACTTAAACATTGCCAATATTGCAACATATTTTTGGTTCTTTCGGTAAAGTCACGTAGAAGGGAAGCAATAAAATAATAAAAATATAAAAAAATACAATTATATTTTTTAATATTTTATAAAACAATAAAAATATATTTTTATTATTTTATTGTTTCCCTTCTACGTGACTTTACCGAAAGAACCAAGAATATGAATCCCTGCAGTCACGAAAGCTTTAAATGGAAATATTGTAACACTTAGACTGTATCACAGTGACTGGAAGATAACGGCCGATGATGACATAATAGACAACATACCAAATATTTATAATGTAAGTTGCATTCGTGGAATGTATATTTATTTATATATGTGCACGCAATGAGTCGATGGTTTTATTGCAGTCGACTGCGATTACCCAGAGTTGCCACTAGGCGGCGCATAAGCTTCCAACGCGAGCAGCATAAATTATGTTAATGAGGTCAGCGACATCATACTTCGCGTAAAATTGTTATTCTCAAACAGATAAGGCACTCGCCACATATATAAACATATCTATATAAAACATTAAATTGCAATTTATCAAAATATCAGATAAAAACATCTAGAGACGACACAATAAAAAACGCATTCTGGGCGACCCATGACGTTTAGGCACGGGCAGTGCCTATAGATGCCGAACGCCGCGGTGTTAAACCTCATGCCTTAAACTAATGAGTAAGGAAAATAACGGTTCGGGGTGACGCCCGAATCCTCACTCGGATGTGAGAAGAATTTTTGAACGGGTACAGGTCGCCCGCGGGTGACTCGCTTACTTTGCGAGATGCCGGTTGAGCGCGATCTGCCCGTACCCCATACACTAAGCAAAATAAGAACACCAGCTTTTGGAACAATGCCGAGTAGGGTTATTTACTCACAAATACTCTTCCCAAGTCATCTGACCTAAGGTGGAAGAGTAGGCCAAGTACACTCCAGAACTCCTTGTTGCCCGAGCCCCTCTTCCGCCAGTACTGGCGAGAACACAAAACAATTGCAGAGCTGCACCTTTGCCTTTCAATGTAGTTTGTGGAGTGGTGGCGCAATGGTTTGTCAACTTTGCGAATGCAATCGGTGGTCCGAGGTCGAATTCCGCCCGTTTCGCTGGTGATTACATCCACCAGCATCCATCGGGGGCGTGTTCAAGTTGCACATGTTGTGGATTTTACTCTCCAACACACCGGTAGGCGCCTTAAGTCGTCACTGTTTTGTTTACGTGACAAGCATTGCTGGCTATGTCGGGTGGTGGAGGGTTACGCCACATTTATACTTACGCGATCTAACCCAAAATTTGTTTTACATCTAATTGTCAGTCTTCGTGCTGGGTGAAGGCTTCCCCCACGCTGTCCAGTTGTAGGCGATGGATACAATGTAATACAGCAATGACAAATCAGTCAGGTTTACTATCCTAAAAAAATATTTCCCTTTCAGATATTTTCGTACTGAAATGATTGTTGACCAGCTATTGTGAATTACCCGATGGTGCAAAACTGTCGTGTCGATAGTCGACTTTCCCTCCTGATAGGACAAGTTTTGAACTTTCACCACACTAGCTGGCGCCCCCTGTTGGATTTCTGGAGTCAACGCTTAACAACGCCAGCAAATAAAGCTCAGGATTTGTATGGCACTTAAATGCCACAGTATCTGAAAGTGCTCGACATCAAAATAAAAACGACACATCACCGGGTCACTAGGAAAACAGAAACGAAAGAATTCCCACACAAAATGTCCAATGCGTCCGTTGGCACCCATCCCAATCCTGGATAATATTCACCATCTTCACGATCCTAAATGGACTCAGCCCTGCCTGCATCTGCCCTCACCTCAACTCACCTCCACGCACCTTCTCGCGACCAAGGCTTTCTAAAGCCTCTCTCAGTGGGAAGTCGCTCACTCTCCTCTGCTGTCCCCCATTCTGAAACTCCCTCCCCTCAATCATCCATCCTGTGTGGAATCCCTTAACCCATGTTAAAAACCCCGTGCTCAATATCTTAATTTTCCCCCGCCTATGACTGCTTCTTTATCTTCCGTTAGTTAATCCTCTTCGTCCCCGATGGGACAAAAGGCCGCAATTAGTTCCCTCCACTTTCTTAACTTCTTCCTGATCTTCCGTACACACAAAAAAAAATGATACACCGTTCAAACGCAAAATGGGGCATACTTGTTTATTTTATATATTTTTTTGACAATTCATTACAGCCCAAAAATCGACTGTCTCCAGTCATTGTTGCAACGTGCATCAATTGGCGTGAAGATGACACTGCAAAGCAGACGAGCATTGCAAGGCAGCGCACAAGGGGCTATAAGGCTCATTGTTTGAAAGATCACTCGGTTAGATGTGTACTCCGTGCTTTAGTGGAGCGGCGTTTTAGCAATGGCCAGACAGCAGTTGTTCCGAATGCTGCATTCAAGATTGCTGCCGCTAGCATATCGACTTTGCAGCTCAGAAGTGACAACCGCTTGTGTATATTCGTGATTTAATACGCAGTGAAATAGCCAATACAGCGGCGTGATATATCATACATTGAAATCCCATTGCGGTAGAGTGCTTATTGCATGCGTATTGCATATTGTGTAATACTTGGAATATAACTGTCGTATGTGTACCTTCATGTGAAATGGCGACGTACAGTGGTCACCGTTGTGCTAATAGACTGATGAAGGGTCTTAGATATGCCTCGCATTGAGCAGTATTCACAGGTAACCAACCGAGTTGGGGTGGTTAACTCTGCACTGCAATTTCTGCTGAAGAATACCTTGGATGGTAGGTCTCCATTGATTTTTTTTAGCAGCAGAAACAATAAGCCCACTTCTGATAAGTTGCCAATGAATGTCATCAAGTTGTGAATCAGAGGACCATGTGTCCTGTTACTCAAGCTACAATAATATAATACAAATGTTCACAAAAAGCGCACAAGCACACGTGAATGCAAACAAAAATAAATAATTCAAACTCGCCTCTTGTGGCTACAATTCTAAAAGTAAATAGTATTTAATGTGCAAATACTTTTAACTCTGTATCACAAACTCGTTCATCTCCCTTTGTTGATATTTTACAAAACGAAAATATACCGTATATCCATGTGCTTCTCATTTATTTTACGTTATTAATGTATTCATGTCACGTGATTAATGTATTAATTTCACCTTTTGTCTGTCAAGGACCCTTCACTCAAAGCATTTTCCCTTTTTTCAACCGAACACCACAATACACAACCCTGAACATTTGGGAGTTATGATACCAGAAGGCTCAACAACACGCGAACACTTTCCAAGAAACATAAAGCTGCAATGATAAAACGGTAACAGCAAACCTACGTTCTGCAATCATGCAAAACACAAGCTCTAGAGGCAGCATTTAGCAAATAACGCAAAAGAAAACAAACACAAATAGCTATATATTAAGCTATTTCCTTTAACGTGTTATAATGTATAGTGCAACATATGCAAACATATATATCATGTTCAACATGCAATGTCCAATGCAAACTTTACAATGCAATAATTGAACAATGTTTCAGTGTTTCCAATTACAGTAACAGCCCATGCAATAGTGCCCCTGCTTGGCTAATTAGGTAGTACTGTACATACGTATTTGGTGAACACAGCTTAATGATTATTTAACTGAATGGGGGTTTACTTTCTTGGTATGATTCGCCACTGTTTCCTTCGTTACGTTATCCTGCTATTTTCAATTTCACGACAGTCACAGTGTCCACCGCGCTCTTGCCATCTTACTTTGGTAAGCATGCACACTGCTCTCGCACCAATTACTATGAAAATGATTGTTGCTCGCCTCGTTATAGCGCAGATCTCCCTGCTGTAGGTGAGGAGTGACGTCTCAATGGGCCCTTCTTGGCTATTTAAAGTAACGAAATGGATCGATGCACACTATTGGATTTGCGTCAACTTCAGGGGGACAAATCACCTTGGTCGGGAGCAGAGGTTGTAAAATTAGCTATTACCCCACCAGAAATATTACGACGGTCCCTTCGTTGTAAGTACAGATAGTCCCCGAGCTACGATGGTCCGACTTACGATCTTTTTGACTTACGATGGGGTCGTCGTAACGCATCTCCATCGTAAGTAGAGGACTACCTGTATAGTTGTCATCACTGCCGAGATTGCTCCCGCGACAAACAAAATTATATTTAAAAAATACTGAAATTTTAACTTTTTTCAGCTCCTTTCCACCCCAAGTCAATGAGTTCCCGCAGACCCCCTGGCGATCAGCGTTAGCTACGTCAATGGAGCTTCGTGAACGTGGGGGACATCTAACCGAACGCAAAGCAAAGTGTTGGCAGTGAGCTGGTGACAACGCAACGGCCGCTGGATGCCGTTAGGCCCCGGACGGGTTGCCCCCTACATGAATGCGCGTGGGGAGGCACGAGCTGCAGCAGAATCAGCCGGGATCTCGTCGGGCAGCAACGGCAGCAGCTGCTTGCTGCTGCTGCAGCTCCCCCTGCTCTCCGTGCTACCGCACGAAGCCGGCGTTCCTGGGTGACGCGCCACACCACACAAAGCCATTGTCTCAATTAACCCGTGGCACATGATGAGCACCGGGGGGTGTGGGGGGGGATAGAGCACACACGTGGGGGTCTTTAGTACAATTGAGCATGACAGGACACAGCTATATATACTGTCGTTCCAACAATTACAAGAAACTAGGAAACAATTTAAAAAATTAAAATCACAGATACTTAGATTGAAATATAACTGGGGGTTTTCTCTATAAAAAGACGAGTTAAGAAAAAACACATGTAGTGCCCCATGTCATCGTATGCATGACAAACATTTTTATATTTTACTCTGAACACTGACACACAGTAGAAAATAATAATTGATATAATCAGCATTTAAGTTGTAGGCCGAAACAAATAAAAACATGGAAAAAGAGGTCAGATCAGTTTTGAATATAGAGAGCAAGTGTCAGTATGGCAGCCAAGCCTCTAAGGCAGTGGTTTGTAACCTGGAGTGCACCCTGCAGCCCCTGGGGGTGTGAGATGCCCTTTCTGGGGGTGCGAGATGCAGCCAGATTTTTGTAGAAGGTAAATCGTTTAAAAACAAATTAAGCACGGTCACGTAAGTACAACTACTTTGTTTCAACAAACCGATGCATTTACGACCATTATACATTTTGTAACGATTTAGAACCAAAGGGGTGCAAGGCTGCAGTAAAGGTTAAAAACGACTGCTCTAAGAGAAGATAAACAATTGAATGCTTGACCCAAATGCTCTCACCCCAACTCATTCAGGTCAAATTTGCAGTGATGACACGCAATTTAAATTATGTAGCATACAGCACTTCTGAATTATACTCATCCAGCCTTTAGGTGTGCAGGTGTATGTGGAATAACCATTTCACAGCATCAATTTCAAAAACAAGACATCTTACAGTACAGCAGTTTGTGCATACATCCGTACGTACAGCAAATGTATGCACAATGTACATAATTTGTGGTAACCTGTTCATTGTTGCCAACTTTACATTTAAATGAATCGGCTTAACGCTTGCAGATTACAAACTATACTCTCGTTCACATCGAGGCACTGACCTACCCGCAACTAGTGGCCACCATCGGGGAAAGAAGCAGACTCAGGATCAGAGGCTGTCCAAGTGAACCAGATCACACAAGGAAGGAAAAAATAGGACACACACAGGAGCGAGACAATAACGAGAGAGTGATCTGCATGCACAGTGTGCTGCCAACGCCCTCCGACCGTAACACCGGTCAACTGAAGGCTCCTTAACCTCTCTGTTCTCACATCTCACCACAGCCCACAGGGACTACTGATTATGGGAATATTTGAGGACTGCATTATACCACTGTCTTTACGACACTTGAAAATAATGTTACACGCGATAATCGGTTCTAGCAAAAGGGTTGAATTTCGTAGTCACCCCTAAACACATCCCAGTGGATGATATCATTGCCCAGGTCGACGTAGCCCTTAAGGGTTTGGCACACATCACTGCAGACGTGGCAAGATCGGAAATCGCTGCAATCCTCAAAAACGCTAAGACACCTATTAGCAACATCAGTAAGGATGAGCACTTTGAGCTTGCCCAATTAAAAAAGAGAGATGACATCGTCATCCTCTCAGCCGACAAGGGCAATGCCACAGTCATCATGGACAAAACCACATACAATAACAAAATTCAGGAAACCTGACTCCCACCACCATCCTTACCAGAAGAATTCCCTCATCAAAACCATAGAGCTCCTCCTGATGACGATCGCTTGTGTTGTGATCAAAACGTCGTAGTTTATTCTTTGAACCTATCTACGTGAATTTACCGAAAGACCCAAATAATATAATAAGCATACACTTAAGGCACCAACATTTTAAATGTGAAGGTGAAAATATTTTAATGCAATCCACTGCACCTTACTTTTAGTGGTGCACCCTAGCGCAGAAATATTCAGAGCCGACAGCACTTAACCGTCTCAACATATTTGCATTATTTCATGGCTAATAGATCTCAAGGGTGCTGCTCAAGCATCATTAAAAAGGGATTGCTGAAAATGTTAATTAAACATATAAGATGAAAAAAAACATATAAAATGATGTGTTCAATTGGGACCTAATTAGGTGTTATTTTACTTTCAAATAACACGTGTACAACAAAGCTGCAATGTATAAGCAATTCCTAATGTTTATCCAGTTTATACTACATTGGATTAGGAGAGAAGCACTTTATTTAGACCGCATTATCGTGGTACATTACAATGTCCAGTCCTTTGCCAATCCCCTTCTAGATGAAAGCTTTTCCATACTGTCATGGTTTTTTTTAACCATACTTCACCACACTGGTCAGTGCTGATGGAAGGGAAAGAGGGGGGGGGGGGCAGGACTGGCTTAGATATCACTCCAAGTTATCTGTGGCTGGATATGGAACGCAGCCTGCTGGATTTGTAGTGCAGTGTAGTGCTAATCACTGCACCACCGCTCCACCCGAGCAGTTTATATTTGTATATATGAGCAGTACAGTAAAATGCATGTATAATGTCATTCATATATAATAATTATGCATGTAATTATGCATATAATTATTAGAGTATATGCATTATGAGCTCACTGTTGAAAGCAATTTTTATAAACCTGGGTAATAACGTATACCAGAGAATTGCATTGTTTAAAAAAAATGCACTACATATCAATTCCAATGTGACAGAGGCGATCTTTTCGAATAGCATCAATAGGCCCCTGGAGTAATGTCAGCATTACGAGCATTGATCAATTTTAATTGCAGCCTTGTATCCGCAATTATGCAAGCTGTTATTACATACTTCAAAACGACTACAGAGAGCAGAGGTTCGTGTAAAATTCTAAATGTCCTCGATATATTTTTTATGGTTTACTTCATCGAATTAAACATATCCAAATAATATAAATATATATAGCTTTCACTTCAAGTGTGCAGTGTGTACACCAATATCAGTGTGACTAAAATTACATTCACGTAGCATACGAGTACAAATTTGACTTCAACGCATCTCTTTAACAAAAACAGAGGCGGTGACGTACTCACAATGGATGCTCGTTCTGCAATATCATGCTTCACATATTCCCGCCATTGCATACGATCACAACAGCCGGAGCTCACCTCATGGGCACATGTTTTTTAAATGCGGCCCTCCTGATGTCAGTTCATGCTCAATATTCAAATTTAAGTTGGCATGCAAAGAGAGTGGCTTGTCGCTTACGATCACCGACAGAGGAGAACGTCGACCCTTGTTGGACACTTCTATATTTGCAGCTAGCTTGAGAGTAAAAACAAACTAAAAAAATATTCCCGCAATAAAAGAAAATGCACCGCCACTAAAATATGGACCACACGTACCTACATTATTTCAGTAATTCAGACAAATTGTAGGTTGCCACATACATCAATCGTCGTGTTATTTTCACCTAATTTGAATCGCTTGCATTGGACATTCTTTACAGTTCGTCCATTTTTAGCGACGTTAAACACAAAGCCAAATTTCTGGAACGACTCTGTAATGGGCAACATCATCAAGTGTCAGATGATAATATGCTTTTGCAATGTAAATTAAATTCCAATGTATCAAAGGTAATCAAGTGTTTCAAATAAGAGTAGCATCCACGCAGGGACAGAATATTAAAGCAGAGCACGCACATTAGTCATTATGCAGCCTCACAATAGTCTCTCCCCACGTGCATGATGCATGATGCATATTGTTCAAGATTGCATGACACAAAGCAACCATTAGCTTATCGCACACTGACCACATGTGCACAATCACACGTCCACATGCAGAACTCCCAAAATACACACGACCAACATAAAATGCATCCCAACCGCTTTTTAGCTTCAATTGATGATAAATTGACATAAACTAAGGTTCACTATTTATTTTAAAATATTCAGACCATGAATCGCAGTTTCTTGGAGGAACAACCTGTCAATTTAATTTACAAAGAGGTTAGTTATTTCTTACTACAGTTTAACACGGAGGCTTTCGCGACCAAAATTATCCATAAGATGTTTTTTATTGGGTTAGATTGCAAAACTTTCAATGTTGTGGGCTTACTCTCCAACACACCGGTGTGCTGAACTTGTAACTAATTGGCATGATCTGTTCACGTGACAAACCTTTACTAATCGGCTGTCGGGTGTTGGCGGGTTTAACGACGCATTTATATTTATACGATCTAAACCAAAAAAACCTCTCTATTTTGGATTAATTACGACAGCTAACTCTTCCGGTTTCATATGCAACAATCGGCAAAGAGGCGTACACACAAACACACGAGAACAATATACATGTGGATGAGAGTAATTGGTTTCAAGAAAAAGGGAAAAAAAATTTAAGAGCAGGCAATGCATCACGATGTAATGTCGGCTATCTGGAGAGAAAGTGCACGCGCAAGCTCGCAGCATGGAAACTACGTGGATTCGTCGAAGGGGGTGGAAGAGGAGAGACAATCAGGCATTAAAGCGTAATCTTGAAACCGTGGCGGTCAAAATAAAAAAAAACATGCCAATGTTTTCAAAAATAGATGATGGGATTAATTAAGAGATGGTGTGGCATTTGCTCAGGTTGCAAAAACCCATGCAAATGTTAACAGAGGATTTTGAATGAATGCTAATCAAGTACCAATCCATGGGTGGGTTTGTTGAGCCATGCATGCATGAAATAATTAGTAGCATGGAAGCCGTTGTTAGTCCAGGTTGATTTACACTTACAATCAATTTGTTTTCAAAATTGCGACATTTGCACGAAGATTGTTACTTATGTATCTATCGTATATGCATGTAAGACTTTTATTCTCTCCATAATGGCAATGCTCAGGAATCATGTCAAGTGAATAAATATCTGCTCTCCTCCTCCATATCCCACATAAACGCCCTGCAAGTCTCCGTTATGCTCTCTATTACTCATCTGCCACACAGTTCGCATATTTTAAATGTCCAAATCTGTTAAATATACAAATTAAAAATGTTCACCAAAATTTTACGTAAAATCAGCTTCTAAAGTAATTACTCACAGATGGCCTTCTGATATTTGATCGAAATAATGGTGGTTCGCACAACTTATGACAGATACACACATACGAGATGTGTTAGATTTGATCTATATGCCACGTACAACTAAGTGTACCCTGGCATACAATTGCCGTGAAAATCTAAATAAAAGCCTTGCAGCCAAAGTCAGATCCACCGGGTGTAAGAGCGCTCCCAGCAGTGACTGCGTAATCAAAGGCAGGCGTTCTGCTGAAGTGAGCAAAGCCTCGTGGCAGAAGGGTGAGCAGCCGAGAGGCAGACTCAAGCTGCGAGCTTGCCGTCAAAGTGCACTCACTCACCAGGCAGGGCATCCCACACGCTGTGGCCACTTTCCACCTCAACCACCGTGGTGTTGTTATTGTTGGCGGGGAGGAACAGTCCCCTTACCGTTCTACCGTGCCAGCCTACAAGGCAGGAGGCACACACGACAAGGCGCCGACGTCAGGCTCGGGCGTCCGCCGCGGAAAAGACCAAGCAGGCCCAACGCGGTCGCACAACCGCAACGTTCACGAGTCTCCATCACCGGCGTGGCCCAATGCAAGTTACGTTAAAGCCGTCCTCTGCGGCGAAAATGTAACCACCACTGTCCAAATCGCTGAACGTTAAGAAGTGAGGAAACGAATTCCGAAAGAGAGAGCGTGACGCTGTCCCAATGCCAGCGGGGGGACAGCTGGGCACCAGATAAAATGTAACATCAATAGTGTTTATTTGTACATTCTTCAGAGAAATTGCTATTTTGTTGCTGTAAAGCTTTGGAAGCATCTGAAGCATGCAAATTAAACTGAAATAATTTTCAACAACATCATTTATATTGATGAAATAAAAAAGAAACATGCATTTTGCTGAATGGGATTATGCGAGAGAAAGATTGAATGTAAAAATACCTTCTCCTTCTGCTGCAGAATCACCTTCCTCTAAAAAAACATTTTCCTGTTCAAGGAAGATCATTGTCAGACACTGAGAAAACATAAGTGCTTTGAGTCATTTCAGTACAGCAACTTATACACTTAATGTCGTATTCACCGAGATAACAACTATAGCATGAAGAGGCATTCATGGTAGCAGTGTTGGTATCCGAAAGATTTGAATGAGACCATGCTCTCGGTAGACTGCTTTCCCACTGGTGACAAGTTACGTCACTCCTTCTTCCAGCCTTGCAGGATGTCACTAGCAAGTTTGCGCACGGAGGCAATCTGCTTGCATAAAACAATAAAAAACAAATCTGTGAATCACGACGATATAACTCATTGTAACAGAGGTACAAAACACCCTCTTTTTATTGACAAGGTAAAGCCCACTGAGCCATACAGCTCTGTTTCAGCGGTCAGCTCCGGCGGGATGAGGGTCGTCGCACACTCACCTGTGGCTCGCCGGGCGGCGTGGGTGGCCCCTCGCCCTCGTCGTCCGTCACAACTGGATAGGAGGCCGACAGCGTTGAGAGCGTGTCCGCCGTGAGCCGCGAGCGTTGGCTCAGGGACGACGCTAGCGACATGGCCGAGTGCGGTAGGCTGCTACTGAACTGGTCTGCGCCAGGGGAACAATTTAAACAATTAACATCGTGGAGAGTTTTTGTTTTCGTACCGGGTTTATCTGATCCGCTTAGGAACTCCTCTGGATCGCAATAGAATTAGGAAACACTTCCTAGCGTGATGGAAAAAATCCTACTGCTGTTCGAAAGTACGATGTAAAAAAGTGATAGGCGAAACTGCAATTTACACGCAGCATGTTTCTAGAATTATGGGAATTTAAGTACCAACCTTCTGGTGAGGTGAGCAAAGAAGAGGAAGGTGTTATGGTGCAGGAGGATGGGTCCATGGGTCCGGAAGACACAGTGAGGTTCTCGTGTTCTGGAGTGACTCCACAGTCCTTGTGTAAAGTGGGTGTGGAGAAAGAACACGATGGCTCAAACCACAGTATCGGGCAGAAAGCGGAGAGTACCGTCCAGTCGAAGGCCGCCTCCGGAAAAGCCAGGACCTACGGTCTGTAATGCAGTGGTTCCATAGATGTGGGTCGCGTGCCTCTGTAGGCTCCGGCATGGATATTGTGCAGGAAAAATTTTGAATATGCGCGGGGAACGTCAGCACCACACTGCCGTGATAGAACACACTTATACGCAGAATAGCTGGTGAGCAACATCTTTTGTAGGGCCAGTGCAAAGAAATGTTTTGAGGTTTATCAAGCCCTGTCAACTGCTATAGGTACAGGAAGGCGATGGATAGCCTGGCAGTCCGCAGATTATAATAGTCTCAGTAAATGCAATCGAAACGTCGTGATAATTTTATTGTTTTATTTGTATTATTTTATTATTTCCCTTCTATGTGACTTTACCGAAAGAACCAAGAATATTATATCGCTTACTGCTGAAGCAAAAACCATCCGTACCACAGATGTCCAGTTTGCAACCACAACCATCAAGCCCAACGCAGGCAAAACCCTCTTTCAGAATGGCATGACGAGGGCACATTTTTGCTTGTCCGCACAAGGGCTTAAACCCAAAAACGTTCATAAGCATTGGGTCAGTGCCTCGAACATCGCTGCCCCCAAGCCATCACCCGACAGACAACATTTCAAAAACCAAAATTCCATGACCCAGCTGCAGGTTGTCACATTCAAAGACAACAAACGATGAGTGTAAATCGTGCAAGGTGACCAAGCTAAGGGTGACTACAATTTCACATTTCTGTTGCTGCAATTATTAGAACTGTGTGCCCACCTGCAGGAGCGTGATGTTGCGCAGGGAACACATGACGGAACGGTGGCAGGACGCCCGCAGGTCCATCTCCTCGTCTTTCTCATCGTCATCCCTGATGACCGACGAGTCTCGGGACAAGGTCCTACGCACACAGATTAACCTTCTTCACCAACCACCACCTGCTTTGTGTTCACGCATCGTAGAGAAAGCTTTAAAGCATCGCCAGGTTTCGAGCAACCCTTTGATCAAAGTGGCCAGTTTTCTACGGAGTCCATATCTGCAACGGAACTTAATACGAAAACTGAACTTGCATTGGGTCAACATTTCGAGTTATCGTGACTCCATCGTACGATCGGACACACAGATGGACAGAGGTAATGCATAAACACTTTCAACCTTGCACGTAGTACTGTTCCTCCCTGTACTCTTTACAAGACGCATCTTTCTGTCTGCTCTCACTTTGGGGTGAGCTTCTTGCGCGTGCTGTCACGGCTGCCGGAGCGGGAGAGGGAGCCGGCAGGAGAGACGGGCAGGCTGGAAGGCAGGGAGGACGACGAGGGCAGGCTCGGGAAGTTGCCCTCGTGTGCCACGGGCGGGGGACCCGCCGGCATGGATTGCGAGAGCGGCCCGTTGAGAGCTTCGAGCAGCGACATCACCTCGTAGCCCATGTGCACCTGCTCGCAGCTCTGTGAAGAACAGGCAAGGGGAAAAAAAAAACTATAAAAAATCAACGATAATCCATGTTTATTTTCCCGGGTAAGGCCCACTGAGCTTTGTAGCAATTTTTTTCAAGAGGGGACCTGGCGATCTCAAATAATAGCTCAGCAACAAAGGGGATTATCATCACGTGGAAATGCATAGCGGGCAAATAATCTAAACGCGTCATGTGGAGTCTAAATGTGGAGGGAAAAACCGGGGCACCCGGAGAAAAATCTTCGCGACCACGGGGAGAGAGACACGCAAACTCCAAATATACAGCAGGCGTCAGCGTCGGGTTTGAACCCACGACCTGCTGTATACCCGACAAGGTAGTTAAGATCACGCAAACTCCTCAACCAGATTAAGGCTTTAAATTAATTGCATCCCTTATATATCACAGGGTCTATGAAAACATGCTAGCTTCCCAAAGAAGATTTAGAAAAAAAATTAAAGGAAATTAGAGGAAAATTTAATAATACAGTTGTAATAGTGAGCATTTTTAAATGCCGATACGCATGCCATGTGAGGACTGTTATAATGGTGTAACCTTAAATGTGTGGCGTGTATACATTTTACATTTTACCCCGTGTATACAAAAAAGCGTTTGCTCGTCACATCGATGAGCTTTTTGAATGCCAGGTTGATTCACTGTTCGCTCGTAAGCAAATACACGTTATCAGCAGTTGCGTCATCGAAAGCCAATGGCGTTCCAATTCGTCCGAATGTTTGCGTCGCACCGTGCGCTCGTCGTTGTCGGACGACTGCGAGGCCAGCACGGGGCTGTAGCTGACCGCTGCGACAGAGCACGACTTCCTGCGCATAGCCCTGATCTGCAGCAGCGCGCGGAACGCTGCAAAGATGAAAAGAGAGGATGAAAATAATCATGCTTACACGTGCATTCTGCAACGCCTTCCAACATGCGTTTTTTTAACTAAAGGGCTCTTTTAGTTTTGGTAGCGGTTGTAGCTAGAAATAGAAGACAAAAATACACGTGCACTAAAATGCGGACAGGTCAAGAACCAATTTCAAATACACGACCAATGTTTTATAAGGCACTTTGAAGCATATGTTGTATGGCGATTGAAATTATAATAAGCGATTCAATATGATAATTGGTTCTTTACCCTTCTATCTGGCAACAAAACTGACACCTTTTTACAAGGAGTCATGTTTGCATAGACCGCAATACCTGCAGTCATAATACAAACAAAAGAACATAACTCTGATAATGTGCACTGTCCTTGAAGTTGATTGGTCCACACCCGAGATTCAATAGATTCAATAGTTAAAACGTTGCCGTACGGTGACGGCACGCTGTGCCTTATCTTGACGGCATACTATGCCTTATGGTGACGGAACGCGCGCCTCACTGTGACAGCATGCTATGCCTTACGCAGCCGGCAGATGGGGCAATTGTTAGCCTGATATCGCAGAGTGTCGGCACATGCGCTGCAGAGGCAGAGGTGGCGGCACGGCAGGATGAGCGTGTCCCGGATGTCGGACAGGCACACGACGCACTCCGTGCTGTTGTCGCTGATGTCATCTTCACACGTCTAGAGAGGAAACAACCACGATGCACAAGCGAAGATGCCGAGAACGTCAAACAGGGCCTGGACCTAAGGGTCGGCAACCAAAAAATAACGAGACATTTATTTTTCGAATTTGGTGCAAAACTCAATATTTCAAGAGCCGCATGTGAATACAAACATAGGTTACGTCACAAACGAGTCCGTAAAGAACAGCATGCAGCCCCGGAGCCGCACGTTGCCAAGCCCTATCCCAGACTATTAGGAAGCCACTGGAGCTATACAGTTTTAAATCTAAATTGAAAATGAATTTCTTTAGAACTGATTTTTATGTTTAGTTTGTTGTCCTTCCTCGTGCACCTCTGGTTAGCACGGTTGGCTACGTACGGTACGTACAACATAAATACCTACATCAAGACTACGTTGTCCACGAAACAAATAGATTCATACCACGCCTGTATTCCCAAATCTCTCGTTTGCAATATCCATGCAAAGATTCACCGATTAATATAATTTTTTACACTCACGATGCATGCATACAATTGTACGTGCAATAATTCATATTCTTGGTTTTTTTCGGTAAAGTCACGTAGATAGAAAATACAAATAAATGTTTAATTAAAAATAAAATAAAAATAAAAGCAAAAAACCCACGACGTTTCATTCGCAACACAAGCGGTCTTCATCATTTCTATCTAAGTGACTTTACCGAAAGAACCAATAATATGAATTCCTGCAGTCACGAAAGTTTTAAGTCAAAATTGTACAAGCAAGAATTTGTTATTGCACGGTTTATGCAAATTATATGACGATAATATTACATTTGTATATGTAGACTAATGTAATGAATGAGTCATTACAAACGAAGAAGAATGGGAGAAAATACAAATGAGATTAAAAAAGAAACAATTTTTTAATTGAATCTTGACCCCCCAATTATGACTATTCATCAAACCACTTATGTAACAATTAAGTAAACTACATAACACAGCATAGTTCAATTCCTTTACCAATACAGCATTTCACTGTACTTAAATGTACAATATTAAAACACTCCTTTAACATGTTTTATTTCAACATACCTTACTTTTCAATACACTTCTTGTACTCTTAAAGGATGTGACCATTTAAGAAAATGCTGACATGCGATCACTTTGGTTGACAATGCTTTGTTTTTCACTGTGGTCACCACTGCTGCCATTTTTGTGAAAGTTTGTGAAGAGATCATCTTATGTATTTGAGAGATTAAAGTGTTCACACTCACATATTAACGAAATGTTATAAAAATGCAAATTTCACTGTTGTAATCGTAGCGCAATTTTCGTCGGCAAGCATACATCAACTTCACGAGTACATCGATAATAATAATGAACAACTTTACCTTAAGCTCTTGCACACTCCCCTTGTTTTCAATGCCGTAGATTTCCTGCAGCAAGTAGCTCACTCCGTCCACCTTAGTTTCCAAATTCAAAACATCATCACGAGCGAGTCAATGGACGTAGTAAAAAAAGCACGGGCGTATTGCAAGACAGCGCGCAGCAATTGTTTGGAATCAGTGCTCTGCCACTGTATGTTCAATGGCAATCGAGAACAATTCGGTGGTTATTTTACTCACCACTTGTTTCTGCTTGAGCGGCTTTACAAAGAAGCTTCCATCCGTGTGCTGCAGAGGGCAGCAAAGAGCCATCAACACTGCGGTAGCAACGTAACACTCGGGAGCCGTTTAGTCTCCAGAGCACACTGTCGAGTGCAAAGCGTCTGCGTGATTTTCACCTTTTATCACTGCTAACCCTACATAACACACGAGCATTATATGACTTTGAGACCCCCCCGCCACCTACACATTCCACAAGGAGTGACTAATCCCATATCTGCATTTTCCATCAATATGCTTAATTCCGGTGTTAATATGTAAACTCCTTTGTCAAGGCACTCTCCTCCCCCCGACACAGCTTAAATGTATGCTGCCAAGCTTGGCGGTGTTCATTAGGACGCTGTCGTTCCGACAGCTCTGCTTCTTCACATGAGGACGGCTGCTTGTGTTGTGGCCGAAACATCGTGATAATTTTTATTTTATTATGTTTTATTTTTATCATTTTATTATTTCCCTTCTACGTGACTTTACCGAAAGAACCAAGAAGAAGTTTTCACCTTGTCAAATGTAGCGAGTAGCACATGGGAATGTCCGATATACTCTGGCCATACAAACAAAACATCACACACAACAAAGAAGCTAAAAACATTGCACTTTCAACTTGTGCCCATAATCCCAAAAATGCGCTGACATTGTGCAAAGCAGATCGCTAAATGCCTCTTGTCAACCATGACATTTCTAAACGTCATGGGCGTGCATTTCCCCAGCCACCCAATGTTTTGGCAAGGTGTGAGTTGCTTGCTGTGACACGCTGTCTTCAGTACCGTGCAACAGAAACTTGCGCAACTGTGAAATGCGCACTCAAAATCACATTCCCCAGGTTACAATTTGGCAAAAACACTATGTTCAATAATAGGGTGGGGGGAAACGTGTTAAGTAATTAATATATTTATGTCATCATATACATATCGACTAATTACAATAAATTGCGCTTCTATACACGAGCAGCTTGGATTGTCACAGGCCTCGGCCTTGTACCGTTGTCTCTGAAATATTGCAATGGACAAATAAAACATGCTTATTATAAAAGCCTCTCCAAACCGTCACCATCCCTCACAGTTCATTGTACCTACCATATATGTGCATGTATGCTGAACTTCTTTCGCACCGTACGTAGCCAACCGTGCTAATCGGTAGTGCGCATTAATTGATTTAATTCCTCCATATCCAAGGTCATTATATTCATGAATACAAATCGGATTGCATTTCATATCATAAAGATCGTTTTCTTTTACATCAAAACATGTCTGCAACCGTGTCTAAAACCTCCTTATTTTTTTCTTTCATAAACACCGAATGTATACGTGCTTTTGCACTAGGCTGCCTAACTGCACATGTACGTATGTGTACGTACACAACAACTGCCTTCTGCAATAACAGGTCGGTAAATGTTGACTGCTTATAATGAGTTACTTTACTAACCTTGCTTTAGTGCGCATGCAGTACAGAACTGGTACAACGTGTCACTAAACATACCCTTTTTGGCACTGCCTACAAACTACAAGTTAAATATGATGACCACAAAATGTGAAAAGTGTAAGAGACCAGACATCTCTTTATCCCAAAGGGCATGTTTTATGAAGGGGTTGATATTGCAGAGGCAGACATCTAACAATCACCAAGTTTTTCTAATTAGTTGACAGCGTATATATCCAGAGACACGGTCTCATGTTGCCTCAACAAAATAGTTGCCTTCGTTGGCTTCGCTGACCATTCCTCGGGACTGTGCCCCATCATACTCCAACAGAGCAACATAAATGAGTGTCACATGTTACGCTGTGCCAATTTATCTCAACTGCAGGTTTGGATGCGAGTCAGTATTTAACACAGCGATTAAATACTGGACAATGTGGATATAGTTTCTCTACCTAAAATTGTAGCTGCCTATGTAGCTACCTCCCAGAGACTACAACATAAATGCCTGGGTGCTATATTAAATGTGTGAAATTAAGGACAATTCTTATTGTAAATAATGGTCATTATTTGTATCATAAAACAACAATTTGGCTCACATTATACTGCCACTTCAGCCATGCGTATGATACGTATGCTACAATAAATTATCATGTGTTGCAGACAAATCCTCCAAAATGTACGCGAGACACATACTGCTACCAACTCGAAATATCCTATTCGCAATCATAAAAAAAGATATGATTCCAAGAAGCCCATGGGTAACCATTTGTAACAACCACGACCTTACCTTCCCCCTCCGTCACAACCGCATGGATCACCATGGGGTAAACATCACGCTCCAAGTCAAAGGTCAGCTGAAATGTACAGTAAGAGAATATGTTAAGGGCTGCAAATCATGCTCACCAAAAGGAAAGCTCATGCTAAATCCAGAGATGGGGAATAGAAAGACAAATATTACAAAGGCACGTTCCAGAATGATTGAAATTCATGGGACAGAACAAAAAATGGAACGTCAATTAATAAAAAAAAATGTGGTTTTAAAAATGGGCTGGAATATTATAAATTATTATATTTTTTGCTCAATTCTTTTTTTTGGAATGTACAAACATAAATTGTAAGCATTCAAAACATGTTTGATGACATCGCCTCCTGTGTTTACCATAGGTAGCAATGACATCTGTTCCTGTAGTTGCAGACATCAGTGTGTAGCACATGTTGCATAGCGTGCACCAACTTTAGGCATATCGTGAGCACAAGGGCGCACAATATGGCAATGTTTTCAAGTCGATCTATGCGTGATTATTTTTGTAAAACTAATTAAAAACGTGTGGTTAACTCACAAATCATATTCAGCCAACAACATTGTTTTATTTAACTAAATTTAGTAATGCAGGTAGGTTCCGTTCTGTTTTGTTCCAATGATAGTATATTATTTTAAAAAGTTTTGCTGGCTGGCTGGGCTGGACAGACATGCACGTTGCTAGTTATTCCCAAAAAAAGTCAAAGAGCGATTCTCAAATGTTATATAAACTAAAAACTGCGGAACTAAAAACAATTTTAAATTTTGTTTTGAAGCTTTCGTGACTACAGGAATCCATCTTTGGTTCTTTCGGTAAAGTCACGTAGGTAGAAAAATAAAACAAAATAAAAAATAATATATCACAAAATTTCGATCGCAACACAAGCGGTCGTCCTCAGGCAGAAAAAATAATCCAGCAGTAGAACTGCTGATTCAGCAGTTATTTTTATTTTGTTTTATTTTTCTACCTACGTGACTTTACCAAAAGAACCAAAGAGTATAATTATTTATTTTCCAAGGCCCACATATCTACCCTCAGATGCAAAACGAACTGAACCAGAAATTAATGCAACAAAACCAAATGTAACTTTAACTTCTGAAACAAGAATGAAACAAAGTATTTGTCTGTCAATCATTACCTCTCCCCGGTTGAATCAACCCCACGCCCTAATCTGGATTTCAGTGTCCCTTGGGAGCATGACTACTTGCAGCCTCGAAAACACCTATGTAAAAATGTCACTTGATTCACAACATGCCCAACAAATGACACTCTCATCATATCATTAACAAATGCTACTATGATGACGTGTACAAGATGAAAACCTTGTCAAGTTAGATGGGGTAGTTGGGTTTATTGGGTTTACTTGTGCAATGTTTGCACATGCCTGGCCACTCTAGACTTTCCTGGGATGTTTGGCCAACTCCATTTGGCACTTACCCATGTTTTCCCTTTTTTCCCTAACACGAGAATCATACTCACGGGACTGTGAGACCCTGCTTTTGAGTTGGGATAAATCAGTCGGATCCATTACCTCCCAAGTGTAAAAGTCTTAAGTTTGCTTATATGCAACCAGCCTTGACCACAGCAGGGGAGAACACGGGGAGGTCTGGCGAATACAAACGCATGATTATCTGGAGCAGCGTGGCGTGCACTCCTCCGCATTAAGGTGTATGGATTCTGCTTCTCATGTGGGTAAGATGTAAAGCAACAATGATTAACCTCTTCTGGGTTCCACTCAGAGGGGTCAATGACATGCGACGTCTGGGAGAAGAGTTGGCTCACTCCTCCCTTGCAGAGAACCGTCTCTGATTGACGCAGGTGATGCTTTGCCGTATACCTGAAAGCAAAAATGACATGAGAGATTCTAGATTTGAAGTTTTCGTGACTGCAAGGAGCCATACTCTTTGGTTCTTTTGGTAAAGTCCCTGGCTCCTCCCCCCCTCTTCCCCCATATAATCGCTTGTCACTAACAGCTCTCTTTGCCCACTACAGTAATTTAGTTTTTGCTGTGGTTGTCCCACCTGATGACGGAAGCTTGTGTTGCTTCCGAAACGTCGTTATTTAATTTAGTTATTTCTATTTTATTCTTTATTTTTATTCTTATTTTTTGTTTTTTGTTTTCACCTACGTGACTTTACCGAAAGAACCAAAGAGTATGAGAGGAGAGAAATTAACCGAGATAGAAAGCCATAATGCTTGAGGAAGGCATTATATACAGGTGCAGAAAAATAGATAACTAGCAATCATGGACAACCCCGCACCACCAAAGCGGAAGAGTAGCCCGTATATTTTTTATGCTTTACAATAAAAATCAATCAATTGCTGTGGCTGACTATGAATTGTACAGAGGATTTGTTTTCTCCAAATTATTAATGAATACTATGAATAAAAATACAGAGTATCAAATTAATCATATTCATATTTTAAGCAATTGCATGCAAGTATAAATAACAATGTGTAGTAATAATTTAAAGAAAGAAAAAGTATGCGTATGTTCAATTCAACTTGAAGAACACTGATAATCTTAACAATAATAAAATTGTGTTTATGGAAATGTGTGAATATTTCTAATGACCATGAGAATATCTCACATGATAATGCCATTGTGAAATTCCTCTGTAGCTTGGTAATAGATGGTAATGGCCACCTGCACATCCGAGTCAAACACAAACTCTACGTTGTAGCTGAATTTGGATTTTAAAGAATCGGCATCAGGAGTTTCTGCTTCATCTGTAATCCTGGGAGATGAAAACAAAAACATGTTTAATTGCTATTTACACACATTCATTGCAAAATCACAGCTCCAGATAAGAACTAAATGTCTGACAATTTTACCCAAACGAATTTCCATACAATAACAGTTTAACGTGGCGTTAAATTATGCTTTAATTTTCAGACAAAGGGCTTTATTTGAGATGGGACATCTCTGTGGTTACCGGGCTCCCAATAGCAACCTCTCTCTTGGTTGCCATGCCAACTTACTTGCAGTGCCTCCCTCTCTATGATGAAAACATATCCTTGACAGTGTACGGTGTGTGCAATGCCAAAAAGAGAACCCTGTATTTTATAAGTCGTGCATTGGTACAACAATACTATGCTGACTGCAAATGTAAATAGTGCTAAGGCAAAAATCCAAACACTGCAGCAAAGATTGGCTCAAAGCCAAGACTTGCACACATCACTCACTGCTGAAAAGGTTGAACATTCTGTTCTCGTATGCATTACATGAATCCGAGCTGTGGATACCTGGAACAAGCCACATTTGCATTTCTCCCACAACCACAAAAAAATGTTTGGCACACAGTGCTGCCGATTTAACGAAGCAGGAAGCTAAGCATAGCCGACAACCTTGAAACAGCTTAGAACATATCCTGGAGCTGGATTACAACACCCAACGTCAAGACTGGCTTTAAGGATTACAAAGTGCAATGCGCAGCTTCAGAATTTGCCTTTTGATGCAATGATGCAGGATCGCAGGGAATGATGCGAAGAAGGCAATTTTATACACTTTACTGCACCGCATATAAAAAAGGTTAATGTATTTTATAATGATTTATCATAACCCTTTTACGACTTAATGTAGCCAGGAGCTTGTATTCTCCCGAGTCTCCTCTTTACTACTATATGTTATTTGAATGAACTCTTATGTGAATTATGATGAAAATAACTGCTACAAAAAATATTTAGAATTATCATGTAAATTACTGTACTTCCTTTACTTAACTATTTCAACTGCAGTCATCATTATGACCTAAAACAACATTAATCTGCTTGCATGTCAGGTGCAATGTGCAGTAACCAAGCAAATAAATATATTTGGAACATTTGGTTATGATGCATACAAAACTGCATTGCAATATTTTGTTTTCGAGGTAAAAACCAGCAAGTTGTCACCGTGCAACCCAGCATGCAGCAGTTACTGACTAGGCTGTTTGTAAATGGTGATGCAGCAGATGCCTGCCATGTTCTTCTGCTATGGACAGACTTACCTGACGAGACGTAGCGAATCTTTCCTGATGTTTACGAGGCTGCGTATAGTCTTGACGGGCTCATGGGGTGGAGGTGCAGGGTAAGGAAACTGGAAAATAAAAATATTCAATTGACGGCCCAAATATTCTTAAACATGTTTACACCTCAGCAGGAATTCAAAGTGTATTTTACAATACGTGACTTCATAACATCTGAAATGTTATACTTATGAATATTAACATACACAATCCGCCATGATTTTTCAATGCATTTGAGTTAACAGCATTTACAGAAGATATATTTTTTTCCAAATGAAATCTGGTCCCGTTCAGGCATTGCTTTTCTTTGTTTGGTTTATTTGCGTCTGGTTTCTGGCTGCGCGAGACAGACCCTGTAACTGAAAAATGTAAATGGGAGCCAGTTGTCACCTCATCCTTCTCCCAAGTAATCACTACCAAAGCAACGCTCGTGCAAATAAGTACACCCAGGCATCAGAAGAACGCCCCCTTCAACATCTTTGTAAGATTTAACAAAAATGCCAACAGCTTTGATCACAGAACTCATGCAAAATGTGGCATTACAATGTCATATCGGCATTATAAATACATTGAACACGTTCAGTAAACGTCAGTGATGTCTAAACACATGTCTAGACATTTATACTGCCCTGTAAAGTACTGTATATGGGTGTACAGTATATTTTACTGTAATAAATGTTATTTAAAGTGCTGTAAATACGATGGAGTGGTTTCAGTGGTAGGGCACCAAATGATGAACCTGGAGTCAATTCCCAGCCATGGCTAAGAATAATGACGAGTGATATCCGAACCAGGCCAGAGCCCCCCTTTCACCAACCACCACTGACCGGTGTGGTGAAATATACCGGGAGTCCAAAAACCCTCATCCCAGAGACACATATATATATATATATCATGGCTCCCAGTCCACAACAGCTCTTGTTCCATCAGCCATGGCACTGGTTGGGAAGGTGAACAGAGGGTGCTAGAACTGGATATGATAAAGTCACCATCTTCTGAATTTAACTCTGGCTATAAACGATACATGGAATCTGTCTGGCAAACCAAACCTTGTTGAACTGAGACTGATTGGAGAGACGTAAAGTCGGAGGTGAGGAAAAAAGAGAGCGTCATACATTTAAATAGTGGTAACCTTTTTCCTATGACTGAGAGAGAGTTGTTGGTCATAATGAGTGTGATCCTTAGTCCCTCTGGGAATGAAACACTGAATGATACGATTGACAAATACGTCAGCTAATGTTGCCCAGATAACATGACATTCGAGCCAGACAATTACAATGTATGCCCCAACAAATTGCTGCCTCAACAATACGTAGAAGTAGACCAAATGTAGGGATACATTGACACTTCCAAATTAGGGAAAACACATCTTACAATCGGTGAACCTCAATGCCAAGGTAAAAGGTACGGAGACGGTCGGATGAATGATAACATTTGACGAAGGAGTGAAGAACGACAGAGGAGGACATCTCTTAACAGCTCACTTGCCAGCTGCAACCACCAAAGGCCATATAAGAGGGAGCTTCAGACAACTTTACCGATGCAAACAATAAGTCAGCAACACAGACAGTTGATACAAAATGGCTTCAAAGTGGAAACTATTTTCCTTTAGAGTTCACATAAAACATGCCAAATATGTTGAACGAATAGAAAACAATGACATTGTTATGAGTATTGTGTACTGTCTTATGAATGCCTCTGTGTGCTCCAGACCGAAGCAGAACTGTAACAGCTGTTACGCAGCAGGAAGTAAGATGAGAGTACTTTGTGGAGGCTGATACATTATTTAAATGTCAAAGGAAGTACTGAATTATTTAGAGCTATCATGTCTTTAAAGAGGATCCAGTGCACTGAGTAAATGTGCTTAATACATTTAAATACATTACACAAATTATCTATTCTATATTTTGTGATTATATATAACATGTAGTAAAATATCTATAAATTGTATATCCCATCATCATGCATGGATGTTGTACAGTAAACAGTTTTGTTAAACGTGCTACACGGTGAATAGAGTATACTGCATGGCATACATATACACACATAATGAATGTCGTGCACATAGATTGCATGTGACAATCCTTGGGAGCAATGGACAAAGTTGAAAACCTGTTACCCCCAGGTGATGTGACCATTGATAATGAGAGGTAAATACAGCAGAGCTTACCGGTACTGGCCTGTTTCCCAGGAAGTTGAGATCTGTATTTTCTCCAAACAAATAACCTTCAGGAGTGCTTGTCTCAAACTTCTCTCCGCCCATTATGAAATGGCTTGCAAAATAATTGCCTACGTGAGAACAAAGCACAGCATGTGGCATTGATCGACATGACGAGTCTTGAAGTGAGTCCTTTATTCAGGCCGGAAATACCTCTCCTGGTGCACCATGGCGATTCACGTGTTAGCGGGGGCTTGTAAATGATATACCACTGTTGTGGTTTAATATTCAGTCTGTTTATGGAGCCTTTTAAATAAAAATATTTGGCATCGGATGTGTTAGGTTTTCCATTATTAAAGGTAAAGCCAATTAACCAACTTCCATTTACTTGCAGAAATATACACCTCAGTACTGTACATATTAATTGGCTCATGATAGCACTCACATCACACAACATCAAATACGGTTTGATCGGCTACATTTTTTTTTCAGAATATAATAACCTTCTATCACACAGCATTGATTACTTTTTCACGAGAGAATATTAGGCATATTTTGTCCAAAGCTACCACAGTTACAGTCAATATGCTTAGTATAAGCAAGTATAAACAAACCCCAAAAATCATGTGTTATGGATAAGCACAGCATTTGTTTATACTATATATAGAACCTTGGCCGACCTTTTTACCATGTTTTACGTGTCAATAGTAAATACTGTGGTAATCACAGCACTGTATTACCAATACATGGCATAAAAACTTGACAATACATACAAAAAATGTGACACTCAACCAAATATACATCACAGCACACAGTGTGAAATTAATTGCGTGCAGACGCACACTCGATACATTCTGCACTGGTTTATTTTCTTAATTTAGTGTCCTAAAGGTAACAGAATGCCCCCTAACCTACCTTAGTTAATCTGAGACCACGTATCACAAGGCAATGTGTTACCAACACTGATAATGAGGAATACAATACACCATTAGCAACGGGTGAACCTGCCAAACGCTGAAGAGTGGCTGTGAGCTCCAATGACCGAGTGAATAAGCCAACCAACATTACGTACACGGCAGAGAATTACCGGTCGTGTTTTTGTGCAGGCTTTCCGAGTGCTCATATGACATGGAGACGCATTACCCCTGCTATGACGTTCACTCACAAGTGTACCAGTAGTGCATAAGCACCGCGAAGCGTACACTACAGAACACGCATGGAGCACTGCATAGGAATGCCCATTGACCACACGTAGAGAATAGTGCATTGTAACAGTTAGTGTGCACTTTAGTTGACGAACACTGAACGGTGGTCAGTAATCATGGAGACAGTTGTTGTGACGTTTTTCGTGTGGGTGATGGTGAAAAGTGGTGATGGTGATGAAGGTTACAGTATAGTGATGAGAGTGATGATGAGTGATGAATTATTATGATTTTCATGGTGGCAGGGACAGTGGTGATGCTGTTATACTAGTTGTGGTTATATTTTTATAGTTGTAGAGCACTTAAATTTGTTGTGATTATACTGTACTTGTGATTATTGTGTAGTTGTTGTGATGCTTATAGTTGTGATTTGTGTAGATGATGATGTTATAATTAGAATTGCCGTGGTGATGATGTTGGTCATGATGCTGGTGATTGCTCTGTAGTGATGTTGATCATTGGCGTGATGTCCGCACTCTACGGATGATGACCATGACGAGAGTTATCATGGTTATAATTGGCGTGATTATGATTTGGGTAATTATGCATATTATCATTATTGCTGTCGATGATTACATATAGGTGTGGTGATCGTAATAACTAGTTTCCGTGGTGACGAAATCGCTAATGATCACAATTATAGTGATGTTCATCAATGCCGCGATGTTGTTAGCACTCTTTAGATAATGAATATCGTTATCATCCTGATGATTATAGTCATGAAGTTGGTAGCGATGGTGATTCGTGGTGTTCATCACTCTGTCAACCTGTCAACCCCTTATCAGTACCCTACCCTATTATAGACCAATTCAGACCTTATTGGTCACCCCGTGCCCTTATAAATCTCAACGTTCATCCTACAAAGTGGCATGACAAGGGAGAAACACAGACAGTGTTTTGTTGTTGCCAGTATTGAACTAAATGCCCCTGTACAAGAATACGCTTCACATCGACAAGGAAGAACGCGGGGCTAAACCGTACGGGTTGACAGCTATGTAATGTTCACATGCACTCCGTAGTGGATAATAACGATTACATCGCTGCAGTCACATAAATAACGAAGAATCACCCGTCTTCGGTGGGTATCTGTAGACAGCGTTGGCTTGGATGTCGAGCTCTTCCACGCCTGCGTGTTGCCGGCTCGTCAGGGCGCCCATGGCCCCGGCTCCCCCGAACCTCCACGGCCGGGCCGCTCAGGCAAGAGCCTAGGCTTCACCAGAGCCAGCGGCCTGCTTCGGGGTCCCGTTATCTCTTGAGGCGCTTAGAAGACTAACAAAACACACACACGAAATACAAATATTGTCGCTAACAACACTGCTACTAGTACCACCGATAAGGTGTTTTACTGATGTTGCCGTGGTTACTGTGTAATTGACGCTGTTGTAATGTTATTGTGAGAATGAAGATTTACTGACAGACGCGTCTGACGGTGTGGGCGCTTGACGCAAGACACATTATAATAATATTATTAATATGCACAATACGCACAGTGTTGATATTCAATCAAAATCGTGAATCTAAAAGTGGGTTATCGTTGTAATGTGATACTGCTGCAAATGTGAGTACGGTAGTGAGATGGACACGTTTGGTGTTGGGTTAACGTCCTCTGCTGTTATCAAGTTGACTTCACTGCGAATATATAAAAGTACGGTGACATCGACTACTGTAGCTTATATTTTTTTTTAATAATAATCATGAAATAAAAGTAGTTACTGCGCATGCACACAACAGTAACGAAACCGCTCTACATTGCTGGACTACAGTATACAGTATATTAGTTATAAATATAAAATACATGCAGACAGCCTGGTAAATGTTGAGCTAAAGTCAAAAACTAAATACCAACAAAACACATTCATGTCATAATGTACAATTAGAACGAATCAATAATGTACCTTTCAATAGATCATCACAGTAATGTACATTAAAACATTACAAATATTTTTTTGTAAAAATTAACCGTCAAATACAAAATAATGTAAACGCCTAATTTACGCTACGTAGAGTGATTGTGTCTTTTAAGTGATACTTTAATGGATCAAAACACGCGTAGGATGCGAAGGGCGGCTCCGTGAACACGAAGACGAAGACGACGATGGCATGCAGCAGCAGCAGTGGCAGTGGACGGGCGCTCCATCACCGCGTGGCGTGGGGCCCTCCGTGACCTCTGTGACCCCGTCCGGGGGGGGGAGGTGGGGGAGCGAGGCCGCCCGATGTCCCGGGCGGTGGCTTTAAGGGGCATCATCATCATCATCCCATCATCATCATCATGATGATGATGGGATTTAGAGATCGACACCGACACCTCTGCTAGCAAATCGCGCGACAGTGACAGACGGCTGCCTTGATCCAGCAGTGGATTGACCGTGGCTGATGGTGATGATGATGAATTATTTGGTACTCTAATCTACAAAAAAAAAACAGATGCAATTGAAGGACGTTGCCCGCTTACTTGGAACCGTTTCGTCACCTGTCTCAGCTGAGTAGGGTCCCGTTGCTGGAAGCCCTTGCCCGGCTGCCGCATTCACTGGCGTGTCGCCGCTTCGTATTTTGCCTGTGCATGTGCCGGTGCATGCGTCCCTCGACGTCTTTGCGTAACCGCAGTCGCGTATTTGATTTCGGTGGCCGACCGCGAGCCAAATCCTCCACATCCACACCTCGCACACACCTCCACACCGCCTTCAAGCTGGGCGAACCCGTGTGGGCCAACGCGGTATTACGCCTTTGAGATGTCACATACCACACACCACCCCCACACACACACATAACCTGCAAGGTATTTAAAGTGATGTCGCTCAAACATACCCTGTCAACCCACACGATTTCAGGCCGTGTTCTTGGACAGGGACATTTAGTTTTCAGGTCCATACGGCATACAACCGTTTCAATACGGGCAACAACAAAAAAACACCAAAAAATTTTGTCTTCCATAATAGAGGTTTTTTTGGGGGGGTTAGATCGCGTAAATATAAATGTGTCGTTAAACCCGCCACCACCCGACGGCCAATAAGTAAGGGTTGTCACGTAAACAAAACTTGCTAATTTGTTACTAGTACAGCACACCGGTACAGCACACCGGTGTGTTGGAGAGCAAATCCACAACATAATTTTTTGTCTATCTGCTTGTGTTTCTCCCTTGTAATGGGACTTTGTAGGATTAACGTTGAGATGTTTAAGGGGCACGGGGTGACCGATACGGTCTGAATTGGTCTGTAATAAGTTGGGCACTGATAAGGGGGTTGACAGGTACGCTCAAGCCTGGGGGTATCATCCAATACTTTATTAAATAAATTGATTGTTATTCCACCGACCATGGGTTCGCTTAACTCAGTCTGACCGGGTAACACGAAATCAGTTTGGGATTATCGATTACTCTACTGATCATCGGTCTGATTACTAATTATCAGACAATATGAAAAGTTGTGATTGTATTATAATCCATTTCAGGTTATCGGTTATATTACTCGTACGGGATTGCACGAAAGTAGTGGATATTTTTTTTAAGTAATCGATTATTAAACTGGTTATCGGTTTTATTACCTGATTTAATCGGATAAGACGACAATATTGAGAGTTGATGGCCTGAGCTTGGTGGCGTAATCGCCATCGTCGTCACGTCACGCTGGGCGTGGATTATTAGGGGGGTTGCCCGCCTTCAGGAGGCAAGATAGGGGGGTATCCAGTATATTTGAAGGGGCTTGAGTATTTTTTGGAGCATCCCAGATCAATGAAGTATGCCCACAGTTTCTGAATAGCATCTAAATCCAGCAGCATTTAAACTATATTCAGTTACATTTAGATGTGGTTGAATGGTTCTTACAGTAGCAGATTGATAATACTGATAATTAGAATGTCTAACTCAAGAGAAACCTCATTGAGTCTCAGACTTTTTGTGACCCGGGCCAATGTTTTCCAACAGTATTTGTTTTGGCAGGGAAAGTCTAGACTGATTTTACTTTGTTAATCTCAAGAGCATTTGTGTGGCCTGTTAATAAGAAGCATAGCTTGATGGATACAAAATGTTACTTTATTTTTAAACATTTTATTTTTGCATGGGCAACAGCCTGTATTTTATTATGTGCAATCTTTCATATGATGTAATGTGGTCTTCATCGTCCGTATTGCAGCATTTGAGACACACACACACTTTGGTTATTACATGCGTTGCTGAAGCAGAAATTTAACCTTTCACTGGGTGCAAAAGTGGTCGTAAAAACTCATGCTTGCCACTGTGATTATTGCATTGTACATTTGACTCATGCTGCAAGCATTCACATCCTCTTACTTACATCCTTACATTTGGTGTTTGTATGAAAATGAGATAACCATAAACATGTATGCACTAGCAGAGTAATAATAAAGTTAAACTTGTGAAAAACGCACATTCTTCCAGGCTTATGAAATAGGTGTCGCTTGGAATGTAAGGACATTTGGTACATTTACAACCAACAATATACATTCTCGTCGCATTTTAAGGCAAAACTGGAAAGCATCCACAGCAGATCAACACAGTTGAGAGTTACAATCCAACACATACATGCGCATTTTCTTTATCTTCATACATTATTTGACTGTTCAATATGTCTAGTCCTATGGAGGAAGTAGATTTCTTTAACGCTAAAATCATTGTATTAACCGTTTAATATAGTGATTATGTCATTGTTTAAATGGGATAAGCCTTCGAGATTTGCATGTACAGTAATATCCAAGGGCGTCTTGGTGAAATGACAGCATGACACGGACGTTGCTCAGCATTCACAAAGTTAAACTACACAATCCCAAGGGCGTCTTGGTGAAATGACAGCATGACACGGACGTTGCTCAGCATTCACAAAGTTAAACTACACAATCTGTGGATAAGAAATAAAAATACGTTTGCAGCAAGCTGCCAGGCTAAAATATAATTTTTAAAAACATTGTGAATTACGTACCGTACGACATTCTGAAAACATTATTACAAATGGGAACCAAACACAACCTTGGTTTATTATTTTTCCAAACACAAGGAGTGAACTCATTGACATTCTTTTGTAGGAATCACCAATTCAAGCCAAAAAAATAACATGACCTCGAAAACATGACTTACCCTTTCACAAAGCAATACTGGCATTAGATGATAATAAAGCAGAAAATCCAATTTGTTACCTGTCGTTGGGGTGTGGAAATCAGCTTGTGTATAGGCCTACATCAGAAGCCAGTGAGTATATCGACACAAGCTGATTATATGTTCGTAGGATATAACAATTGTTGGGGTGGAGCAGTGGCGCAGTGGTTAGCGCACTGCATTCTTAAGCCGGAGACCCGAGTTTAATTCCCAGCCATATGGCTAACATTCTTCATTGACCGGCGTGGTGAAATATGGTCAAACAACCCGCACCTCCGATTAACACGGTTGGCTTGGTACAGTGCGAAAGAAGTTCAACATACACACAGTATTTACATGGCACGGAAAACCTATAATCTAGCACCGGGAAGATAAAGGACTGTACATTAGTATTGTTAATGTGCATTATGGCATAAAAGTTGTTGGTTAGGTAGAGTAGCATTTGTGCATCACACGTATGAGAAGATTGCACTTTATAGCCCATGCACATATATTTATTCAAGCCAAACAGCTGGGCAATGCCAGGAAGTACATTTTTCTTGGCTATATTCTTAATGAGGCCTTTATCAGGCATCGAGGTTACAGCACGTTTTCTCTGGTCATTGCTAAAGGCATATTGGTAGTTTATAACTGTATGCATCTTTAACACATGTAATGTTTCAAATGTAGTAAAGCAGGTTGTTGAATAGCATGCCATCCTGACAAACTAAGCGACTTAAAAAAACATAGTTTTATTTAAATGAAGCTTCAAACCAATGTCACGTATTTTGATGGACAGAGTTTGTATCTCCTACATTTTCGTCAGTGGCATGTTCTTATAGTCAACGCATAATTTAAGTACGCGTAATTTAGTATCGTGTAAATGTTTTTTTTTTGTTACACGATCTGCCGCACCTGCCATTGTTCACGAATGTATGCGATGTCGATTCATAAAATAACATCATGATTCACAATTGTGCAACACCAGGATCGTGCCCGTTCACTGACCCACCCTTTGCCACACGTGCCTCCACACAAATACCAGTCATTGACACACACACGTCCGTGTTTGCTCAGTTGTTGAGTACGTAATTCACTTCGCGTTGAGAAATGTTCCACCTTGCGCATTTCCTTCCGTTTTGTAGAGAAACGTGTACAAATATTTGTGGAAGTGTACATGGAGCCAGATAATGCACACAGGAACCGATTCTACGCAATGTTAACCGCCGTTGGTCAACACTGGCTCGTGTGACATTAAATTATGACTGCAAGCCGGGTCAGCCGACAAAAAATATAAACATAATAATACAGTACAGCCATCTGTGTTTCACGAATGCTTCTCATTTCATGGGTTTCCATTGTATTAAAACAGCGGTCGGGAACCTATGGCTCGCGAGCCATATATGGCTCTTCCAGTGACGGCATATGGCTCCCAGACAATTTTGAGTTGAAAAAAAATAAATCAGTTTGGAACTGATTTTAAAATACTTGTGATATTGCTTAATAATACTGTGTCATTTTAAAGTAAACAGAAATTAGTTTTGAAGATAAATTTCACGGGTCAACAGCAAAACCATGCAGCACCAGAAGTCGCATTAAAAGTAAGACATTTAATTTATTATGCGTAAAAAATACTATATGGCTCTCAATGAAATATATTTAGAAATATTTGGCTTTTATGGCTCTCCCAGTCAAAAAGGTTCCCGACCCCTGTATTAAAACCAGCTTATTTTCCTGTAATCGATCGGATCGTGGATTTTTACTTGGCACTGCGGTCAAACCTTGTTTTGTTTGCTTTATATCCCTGGTACGTATCTTTTGTTTCCCTGAAGGATATGTATCACAGTCCCATACCCTTTGAAATTCTACAGACATCAATAACCCAACTCTCCAGGCTTGAAAATGCGGGGGCGTTGACGGTAATTCCTTCGTTAGTTTGGCAGATTGAGCATCGGCGTCGACATTGTGCGTGCCCTGACATGCCTCGCACCGCTAGAGGGCACCCTTTCAAAAACAAACGTGTCCTCTGAATTTGCCTTCATGTACAGGCACTCGTCGACTTACCAACAACTTTCGACTTACGAACTTTCAAAGATACGAACAAACCTTCCCCGTATGTCCAGTCGCAGCTGTTCGAACCAAAAGTCGTAAGTTCACCATCGCGCAATAGCTGGCGGTGATGGCCTCTACATCTGCAGACCGTGAAGAACCAGTTGGACTTAGGAACAAATCGACTTACGAACAGAACTCTGGAACCTAACTCGTTCGTAAGTAGAAGAGTCCCTGTACATCGATTCGATTGTTTACAAGAATGAGACAACAACCCACAATTCTGCCTTTTTACAGTGCAATGTAACCACGACACTTGTCGTTGCCGCAGTAAAACATGTTAGATATTTACGTGTTAAAGTGGCGACTCGCTATCATGAACTGGAGCATGTGTTACGTTACTTAGCCATTGGGTCCCAGGCGATCATTTAGCCATAACCGGCATTTTTGCAAACCGACAGTTAGTGACAAATAAAACCACTGAAGTAGCTCCACACTTTGCACCGTCTCTATTCTAGCGTATGGCGAGAACAATACACTGGGCTCTGCGCAGTGAAGTGTATATTCCACTGACTTCTGTAGTGTGGTAAAGTCAAGTTCAAGTTCATTTATTAGGTATAGCCCTGTGAGCCATTCAGCTCTTGAATCGGGTGCAACCGCAACAAACAAAAAACAAAAACATGAACAAAAAACATCTTAAAGTGAATATGTGACTAAGTCGCGACCAAGCGCTTGGTTTCTATTAAAAACAAACCCCCACCGTACAGACAGAGGGCAGAGTGAACTCAAAATACAGGCCCCACCACCAAAGACAAACATCCTCCCCCATGGCCTTCACAGTGAGCCGGGCACTGTGACACACAATGGGGGGGTGACCCAATTCCACGCCCGACCCGCCTTTGTCTCCCTAGTGGCGATGTTTACACACCGCACCAGGTACTCATTTATGGCTGAGTCGACCTAGGGGGGGGCCTAGGAACCGGTTCAGAATAATTGTCACTGGTGTTGTGGTGGGTCGACCAGGATTCGTAGGCACACAAACCTGTCACCCCCTTGTAAGTGCCCTACCTTGTTACAGACCAAATCAGACCTGATTGGTCACCCTGAGCCTTTATAAATCTCAACGTTCATCCTATAAAGTCCCATCACAAGGGAGCCACACAAACAAATAGACAACAATGTTTGCCCGTATTGAAACGGCAGTGCGCCGTATGGACGTGAAAACTCAATTTCCCTGCACAAGAAGAACGCGGGGTGAACCGTGTGGGTTGTTGACACGGTGTGGGCACAGCGCGCTAACCGCTACACCACCGCCAGTACCACCACCACCATCACTCCCCACCACCACCACCACTCCCCATCACCACTCCCCATCACCACTCCCCATCACCACTCCTCCCCACCACCACCACTCCCCACCACCACCACTCCTCCCCACCACCACTCCTCCCCACTACCACCACCACCACTCCTCCCCATCACCACCACCACTCCTCCCCCCACCACAACTCTTCCCCACCACCACCACCACTCCTCCCCACCACCACCACTCCTCCCCACCACCACCACTCCTCCCCACCACCACCACTCCTCCCCACCACCACCACCATCACTCCCCACCACCACCACTCCCCATCACCACTCCCCATCACCACTCCTCCCCACCACCACCACTCCCCACCACCACCACCACTCTTCCCCACCACCACCACTCCTCCCCACCACCACCACTCCCCACCACCACCACCACTCTTCCCCACCACCACCACCACTCCTCCCCACCACCACCCCTCCCCACCACCACCACCCCTCCCCACCACCACCACCACACCTCCCCACCACCAACACTCCCCACCACCACCACCACCACTCCTCCTCCCCACCACTACCACTCTTCCCCACTACCACCACCACCACTCCTCCCCATAACCACCACCACTCCTCCCCCCACCACCACCACCACTCTTCCCCACGACCACCACTCCTCCCCACCACCACCCCTCCCCACCACCACCACCACTCCTCCTGACCACCACCACTCCTCCCCACCACCACCACTCCTCCCCACCACTCCTCCCCACTACCACCACCACCACTCCTCCCCACTACCACCACTCCTCCTCCCCACCACTCCCCACCACTACCACTCTTCCCCACTACCACCACCACCACTCCCCACCACCACCACCACTCCTCCCCACCACTACTACTCTTCCCCACTACCACCACCACTCCTCCTCCCCACCACTCCCCACCACCACTCCTCCCCACCGCCGCCCCTGGTCTCCCCCAGCCAGCAGCCCCAGCAGTGTTTGGTGTGCTGGTGGTGGTGGTGTTTGGTTTGCTGGTGGTGGTGGTGAGTGTTTGGTGTGCTGGTGGTGGTGGGGAGTGTTGGTGTGCTGGTGGTGGTGGTGAGTGTTTGGTGTGCTGGTGGTGGTAGTGGTGAGTGATTGGTGTGTTGGTGCTGGTGGTGGTGGTGAGTGTTTGGTGTGCTGGTGGTGGTGGGGAGTGTTGGTGTGCTGGTGGTGGTGGTGAGTGTTTGGTGTGCTGGTGGTGGTAGTGGTGAGTGATTGGTGTGTTGGTCCTGGTGGTGGTGGTGAGTGTTTGGTGTGCTGGTGGTGGTAGTGGTGAGTGATTGGTGTGTTGGTGCTGGTGGTGGTGAGTGTTTGGTGTGTGTATTCATAGTCTCACAGTCCTCCCCTGTGTACATTCGTGTGCGTTGTTAAATTATGACACCGTGGGGCTTGTCGTGATTTCATGTTTTGAAGACATCAGCATCGTCACCGTCACTCTCTTCGCCGTGGTTGGTGGTTGTGGTGGTGGGTGGTGGTGGTGGTTGCTGGTGGTGGTTGTGGTGGTTGTTGCTGGTGGTGGTTGTGGTTATAAAGGAGGCACGCGGCTTTGAGAGGCGACTTCACGCCGCCCGCGCCATCGTCTCGTGCAATTGTTGCGCTGGTGAAACGCTCGTTCTGATCATCACCGGTGTTGCTGCGCGCACAGGTGCAGCAGGTGTTTCATCTCGCCGCCGCCACGTGCCGTCGTGGCGCTGCGCACTGTGTTGGTTTCACACCCGTGCCACGCACAGAGCCTCCTCCTACACGCGTGTCGTCATTGTTGTTGTTATTGTTGTTGTGCTCCAGGGAGGTGTAATCATTGATACCGGCGCGGCCCCTCTCCGCAGCATCAGTAGCAGCATCAGCACCATCGGCAGCAGCATCATCATCGGCATCAGCATCATCAGCAGCAGCATCATCATCCGCAGCATCATCAGCAGCAGCAGCACCATCGGCAGCAGCATCATCAGCAGCAGCATCATCAGCAGCAGCATCATCAGCAGCAGCATAAGCATCAGCAGCATCATCAGCAGCAGCAGCATCATCATCATCAGCAGCAGCATCATCATCAGCAGCAGCAGCAGCATCATCAGCAGCAGCATCATCATCAGCAGCAGCAGCAGCAGCATCATCATCATCGGCATCAGCATCATCAGCAGCAGCAGCAGCATCAGCAGCAGCAGCAGCATCATCATCAGCAGCAGCACCAATCGCTTCCGTGTTTCGTTACCGCCACCGCCACACTCGCCGCTGTCGCCTCTCCGCGAGCTGCTGCCGTGTTTCGGCGGCGTCTCCGGCCGCTGTTTTGGTTTTTTTTTCCGTCTTTTGTTGGAGGGGGACGAAGCGGGTGGCGTGTTCACCTTTCGGCGCCGTGGGTGCCCGTGGGTAGCGTGAAGCGCCAGGCATTCGTTTATTAGTGGTGGTGTTAGAGCAGTGGTGGTGGTGGTGTTAGAGCAGTGGTGGTGGTATAGCAGTGGTGGTGGTGGTGTTAGAGCAGTGGTGGTGGTGGTATAGCAGTGGTGGTGGTGGTGTTAGAGCAGTGGTGGTGGTGGTATAGCAGTGGTGGTGTTAGAGCAGTGGTGGTGGTGGTGTTAGAGCAGTGTTGGTGGTGGTGTTAGAGCAGTGGTGGTGGTGGTGGTATAGCAGTGGTGGTGGTGGTGGTATAGCAGTGGTGGTGGTGGTATAGCAGTGGTGGTGTTAGAGCAGTGCTGGTGGTGTTAGAGCGGTGGTGGTGGGTGGTGGGTGTCAGTGGTGGTGGTGCGGTTGTTGGTTAGCTCTGCCCGGTATTGTTGGGGTCAGCCTCGTCTCGCTACTGGTGGCAGTGGTGACGTTCCGCCTGGACATGTCCACGAACATGGAGGAGCTCAAGCACCAGCTCATGGTCAACCAGTTCGTGCTCACGGCCGGCTGCGCGGCAGAGCAGGCCACGCAGCTGCTGCAGGCGGCGCGCTGGCAGTTCGAGGTGAGGCCCCCTCCTGCTGCTGCTGCTGCTCCTGCTGCTGCTGCTGCTGCTCCTGCTGCTGCTGCTCCTGCTGCTGCTGCTCCTGCTGCTCCTCCTGGTGCTGCTGCTGCTCCTGCTGCTGCTCCTCCTGCTGCTGCTCCTGCTGCTCCTCCTGCTGCTGTTGCTGCTGCTGCTCCTGCTGCTCCTCCTGCTGCTGCTGCTACTGCTCCTGCTGCTGCTGCTGCTCCTGCTGCTGCTGCTGCTCCTGCTGCTCCTCCTGCTGCTGGTGCTGCTCCTGCTGCTGCTCCTGCTGATGCTGCTCCTCCTGCTGCTGTTGCTGCTGCTGCTCCTGCTGCTCCTCCTGCTGCTGCTGCTACTGCTCCTGCTGCTGCTCCTGCTCCTGCTGCTGCTCCTGCTCCTGCTGCTCCTCCTGATGCTGCTGCTGCTCCTGCTGCTCCTGCTGCTGCTGCTCCTGCTGCACCATCACGTCGCACCCTCGGATGTCCAGCCCCAGGTCTCGACCTCCAACATGCCACGGTCGTTGTTGTCCGATAGGGTCACAGTCGGCACTGATTGACCCATGTTTGTTGTTGTTGTTTGTATGATTAACAAAAAAGTTAACCAAGGTATCTTGTTGAATAAATACATGTACAGATAGCAAGGATAGGCACAGTGTATATACAAAGGGGCAGAGTCATGTCAATCTTTTTTTTTTAAAGGCGAGAGAGAAATTAACTCCGAAGATGAACTTTTCGAGATCTTTTTTCCCAATAACATCTTCAAATGGTGATTTTCTTACAATCTCATTGTCAATAGAGAGCAGTGCAGGGGAAGGATGAAGGTCCTACGAAACAGAAATGCCCAGGGCCTACAAGAACCTTAATCTGGCCCTGCACACTGGGTGATGGGTGCCCATCCAGATGTCGACCTCCACGTGTCCAGCACCAACCCCACGTCCAGCTTCGGTCCACCCCGCCCGTCCCGTCAACTCCTTCCTGTGATCCTCCACATCCAAGTTGACCCACTCGATGACATTGTGTTCTTTCAGCCTTCTCAACACACAGTGCTTCTATCTGTCATCACGACACACGCTTGCAGACCACGCTCCCCGCTAGTGCAACAACGACGCGGTCATACAATGTAGGTCCGTTCTCCTTTGCTTAGAGCCTTAGACTAATCCTCTCCGCGATCCGTCTACCCCGAGCCACCTCCATCCGTCCCCTTTGGATCAGCTTACATATTCCGTAAATCACGACCTCCCTTCCGACCATCTCTATGGAAATTAATCCATAGTAATCCAACGCTTACTGCCATTTTTCATTAAAATCAATTCTGACATCCAAACAACTCCACCTGAATTTCACCCCTCTCTTCATAGCTAAACATCTTGTATCGTCTCTCCGTCAGTTCCCCATCGTCGTCCTCATATCCTCCTCATTCATTCTATCTCGCCCATAATTGTGACATCCGATCATCAGCCGTAATCCATTCACTGCTGGATGAAGGCCTCCCAAAGGCATCGGACATCACTCGCTAGTCTACGATGTAGTCGCCTTAAACTGGCACAAGAGCTGATTGTATCACTCCATCTCCTCGGCGGTCGTATTTTCAGACACGTTCCATAACCTTGGCTGTCACTGGATCATTATTGTTGATCACCAGCCATCATTCCGTCTAGCTACTTTGCTTCAGCTTGAAATGTCGTTATAACGAGTACAGAATTTCCTCACGTGTTTTTCGTTACGTCTCAATGTTATTCTAAGAATGCGTCTCTCAATTCTTCTTTATCCTTACAACTGTACGTTCATTATAACGTGATCTATCACATCTCCTGTCCCATAGAAGTCATTTCTTTCTAACTTTTTGCCGTGTGTAGTTGGACCTTTATAGCGTTATAAGACATTGACAAATAAAAGCAGTTCGCTGACTATAACTTTGGACAAACTCAACACATCCCTCGGTAACACTTCCCTAAAATGGGGGGGGGGGGGGGGGGGGGGAGAAATTCCAATAGGTGACGTTTCGGGAAATGCCCCTTCCTCAGAGGAAATGTGTGGACATGAGTTTTGGGTGGTCCTGGTGCAGCCTGATGGCTGTGAAAATCAGAAGGCAAGAAAGAGGTGTTTTGTTTTCAACTGCACATTGGCATTGGCAGACTCTGCCGCAGTTGGCAAGCGTGTAAGGGTGTTGCCTACCAATTAGTGCACGTGACGTGTGTTGTCCTGCAGTGTGCATGCCTGATCAGCCGAACAGAACGCTGCACGAGTAACAATGTAGACTCGTACGCGATTGACTTCACTAAATTACCATCCACATTATTCCTCGTGGACAATTCACAGTGACTGTATTGGGGTCGCCTTTAAGCCCGTTCTCTCCTAAGGCCCAAACCCTGACCAAATTCTGCCTTGTGTGTGACCTGGAAAAGAGATCAAAAGGCACATTCCTCCACACAATGCTCAACCTCATCACACAATGCTCAACCTCATCACACAATGCTCAACCTCATCACAATGCTCAACCTCATCACGTGTGTGTGTGTTGCAATTTCCAGGAACGAGGGACTTAAAAGTGCCACCTTATTTTTAATGGCCACGCTTGCCGATTATCCCAACGTACAGTAACATCACAGTTGCTGAGCCCAGATGCCCATGTGTGTCAAACTGGCCAGCAACGAACAGCACCATCGGGCAAGGTCGTTCGTGTGCCGCTGGGTTAAGACCGCAAATCGTGGTTGCTTTGTCCTTTTCACTCTATTGTATTGTCACTCTAAATTTAAAATGTGCCATTACTGTACAGCACAGGCAGTGGTGTACAAGTAAACATAACAAACACCCAACACATTCGTCAACAACTGCCCTAAAAGGAAAACAATATATTTGATTAAATGGACATCAGCTGTGAAGAAGGTCCGTTGCCTGAAACGTCACCTATGGATATACAGTACAGTATTTATTTTCCTTTGAGGGCAGTGCCATTGAGGAATGTGTATCGTCACTGTGTGGCATTTGAGCCAATCGTTGGCGCGCTGTTGCCGTGTTGTGTCTCTGCCCCCATCCACAGACGGCGCTCAGCATGTTTTTCCAGGAGGCGAATGTGCCCAACGCCTTCCACGCTCACCAGATGGTGAGTTGCAAGAGGGCTTTGGGCCCTTCCTCTACCCCTTCCATCCAAATCCATTGCCCCCTTTCATCCACCGTGCCATGTCACGGAGGGCCTGTGAAGACAAACATTGTCTAACCCTCCCCCACCCCCACCCGTGCATTTTTTGGGGGCATTTCAAAAAGCTGCTTTTGTTTGTTTTGGTTTTTTTCAAAGGCTGGCTCGTCTTACGGCGTCGTGGCACGAATTCCCCCGTGATCTGATTTACACGTGACTGAAGAGCAAATCAAACAATGTAATGGAGCAGGAAAATGTAAACATTAAGTTGTGGCCAGATTTGAGAGTGCCTGCACAATCCAATTAGACCGCTTAATTGCGTAATTATTCTACACAGGCAAACCGAGGTACACATTACTAAATCATACACTGACGTTGTTTTTTTGTATTAATTATTATACCCACGCATTGGTTTGACATCATTGATTTCACAGGAGTTGTTCTGTTATATTTTGAGAGCCAGAATATGTATGCCAAGTGGTAGGCTATCATCACTGGCACGGCGATTATTTTTTTTGGGTTAACCCGCTGCGATCAACAATTTCCATTTGAAAGATCCAGTGTTCCTGAGCATGTGATCACAGTACAAGTACATGCTGTTTGTTTTTGCATCGAGAAACCACAAGAGGAATGCAGCGTGGGTTGGAGAACAGCAGCAGGTTAATGGCATCGTTCACATGTTGATCGGGCGGGATGCGTCGCCATCCCTAGAAAGGACCAATGGTCAAGAGTAATGACGGAGCGGTGGCCAAGGGATGGAATACCAATATCAGATGAAGCAGTGAACTCGGCTCCGTGCAGTTGCTAGGCGGATTGACTACACGCCAGGATTACGCTAGATTGTGGTGACTTGGGAGACCTTCATCAAGCAGTGGATGGACCATGGCTCATGATGATAATGATGATGATATTAAAGCGTCACCATAGTGATTGTTATGATTTGTACCCACTGCATTGTTTAACAGTGTACACACGTGGGAGGAAACCTGAGTGCTAAGAGGAATGCATCTGGTGTGTTTTGCAACAATACATCCATCCAGTGTGGGCCCCGTCGTTTAGATGGGGTGATCTTGCCAATCACATTCTAGAACTAAGCGCCATTTGATTAACAATCCTGGCTCTGCTGATGAAATCCAGAAGGTCGAAACCGTTCCAGAGTTGACTTGCTTCAACAAATGATCTGGAAAGGCAATAGACCAATAGACTGAAACGTTTTACTTTAAACATGTAGACACAGAATATAGTTGTGCTTATATTGTATACGTTTCTACCTACTGTGCTATAGAGGGGCACAATATTATAACAATATTTTAACAAGTATCATTATCGTTGCAACACCCCACAACATTTGGGCTTTTACTGCCAGGAAGGTGTGGCGCTCGAGTGCTGTGACATCAAACCTGACTGTACACGTTCCTTTGTACACAACAGTTGAATGTTCGAGGCAGTACAGTATGTATATGATGCACGTCACCACCTGCGACTTGCACCATTGAAGCTGGAGGGGTGGTGGTGGCGGTTAAGTAATTATTTTGTAAATACACCCAATGTGTCAACAGTGCTGCTAACATGGAGAGTTTGTCTATGGAAGGACAGTTTGAAGCAAATATTACAATTGTTTATATAGGGCAGCACTCCACAAAGTAATCAGCTGCAATATTTCAGCATTGCATTGCTCAATTGTTTATTTTTGTATAAGCATATTTCCCTTAACACGTGTTCCGTTCCCTGGGTCAGTCAAGTGCCATGATTAAGTACGGGAAGTGTGTTTTTCACTTTCAAAGTGTCGTTTTTCAAATGTTTTGAGAACTTTGAAACGGTAACTTGTTTCAAACTTAGCTCTGTGGCCTCTTGTTGGTGTGGAATTTGTTGCTGGATTTGGCGTTAAGGTGAGCACACCTGGACTAGCAATCCATGGGCTCATCGATTTCATGCTTGCGGTGGCGGCGGCAATTCAAAACGATTTGCAGGTTTCTTAAATGCCCTCCTTCCTCGCCTTAGTTCATCCAGTAGTTATGAATCGGTACATCCCAGTTCGTCAATCGGAAGGCCGCGTGCAGTGGAGTAAAGTGTGGGAATTTCCGACAACCTTCCATGACGTATGGCCAGCGATGATGACTCTGGCTGTTGCCTAATGAGGCTGGTTGTAATTATCGGCGAAACATCCTGGTTCTCGAACGTGGTGGGTTTACTCTCCAACACACTGGTGTGCTGAACTTGCAACTAATTGGCATGTTTTGTTTTCGTGACAAACCTTACTATTTGGATGTTTTAACGACACATGTATGGATAATATTGGTCTCGAGAGCCTTTGTGTTAAACTGAAGAATATAGAAAACGACGTTGTATTAGGGCATACTAGACCTCTAGCAACTGGAGGCCCTTCTGCTAGCGGTGACGTCAAGAAGTTATTGCAGGAACGCACCGTATTCCATTTACTGTATTAAAAATTACAGTGCGAAATGTAATTGAAATTTCTTAATGTAAATTACCCCGTGAAGCTTGCAAGTTTTACCTGCCGTTGACATCAATCACTCCACGTGGGAGTTGAGAAATGTTGTCTTGCGCATTGCGAGAATATTGCCAAATCAAGAGTGGCAAGCATTTGACGAATCTCGTAAACTGCGTAAAGAGTCGTATATTTGGCCCGTGATCTGGCCGGGTCATTGCACTGCAGCGCAGCCTCCTGGAAACCGGCCCCCAATTTTTTACGGTTCATTATTGCCAGCCAGCGGTCATGTTGTGTTTACAGAGGGCATCCAACAAACAAGTTCTGCTCAAGAGCATAAACCCTTGGTAGCAGCAGCAGCGGCGTTATGTAAAGTGAGCGGCACCCTCTGTTGGCGTTCCCAGCAGTGCAGTCACCGGTGAACAGTCGGATGGCCTCCAATGACTTGTGCCCTCAGCTGCTGGTTATAATCTCATTTCAAGGTTCTGCAGCCCACCCGAGTGTGGCAGCATTCGGTGATATCCTTTAACTGTCTTTGACGGCCTGGAAACCGCAGAGATGTTTTGGATGAGATGGAACCGAATCGCTTCAAATTGCAGTTTGGCTATAAGCTCCTTTGGTTGTTCATACGACTACGTTTAGTACGATTGAATGTGATGTCATTTCGTGCAAGAACCGCGCTGATTTCATAAATGAACACAGCTGAATGTGATCTCAGCGTTATATAGCTGTAAAAAAGTAAATGTTTAGCTTCTTTGTACAGCGTGTTCCACGTCTATTTTTGGCCTTAAAAATCCCTCCAGTGAGATTACTGTCCAAATAAACTCAACCGTTTCGTACAATCATTATATCATTAACGAGACAATTGTGTTAGTTATTTTCACGTAGTAAATTCGGACAAGGAATGGAATGTGTTGACTCCAATACACTCTGTTGAGTCGGCCATGTCAGCGACTTTGTGATTATTTTAGAAATACTGTCAAGCTATGTGTGAGTGTGTGTGTGTGGTCGACTCAGCCTCAAATGAGTACCCAGTGCCGTGAGTAAACATCGCCACTCGGGAGACAAAGGCGGCCGGGCGTGGTGCTCACCACCCACCCCCTCGTGTGCCGTGCCGGCCTTCATAGGTGCTCCTCGCTAACCGCACTTGCCCAAACAGTCTGTCGAGGCTACACGGGGAATCTTTGTTTTTGTTGTTAAGCAAGTCCCGAACGTAGTTCTGGCTCTTGTTTTCACTCGTGGTGTTGCCTGCCACGGTTGACGAATAATATAATTCACCTGGCGTATTACACTGGTCAACACACTTTTTTTGGCATAAGGTATTCCAACACTTTTCGGTAATTTTGGGGTGCTGATTCCAAATCTGGCATCAGTTTTTGTCTATCACATCAGGTTTTTGAGATATCAAATATTGCATTTTCAATAAAAACTGCAGAAGAAAAATATTAAATAAATGTGGATATCTACATAAAATGATATTATAAACACACTATCCTAAAATACAGCACCATATTTTAACACTAAAGCAGTCACTGACTCGCAACAACTTGCAATCATAAGTGACAGAGTTAATTACGGGTAAAATTAATGAAAATGGGGTATGCCGATAGGATAAAAATGAGATGTGATAGAGCAAATCTGAGATCAGATTTAGAATCGGCACCCTGAAATTAGTCTAAAAACAGCTGCAAAAGTCCAGGCCAGAATTGTTTTTTTTTTACCAGTGTTATTGTCATTACCTCCGAGGCTAAGTCTGGTGACAGCAGGTGAAATACTCATGAGTCTGGGCAGATGGGAATTCATATCTTGTCATGCCAGAAGGAAATCTGCCAGGGTGTCATAGTCAGCAGCACGCTGTACTTGCAATCCAAATACTCTAAAACGCACGTTTCTAAATGGGGAGGGATAAGCTGGAGGACCCGGAGAAAAATCCACGCAAATACGGGGAGAAAGAACATTCAAACTCCTAATATACAGCACGACCTCCTGCATACCGGGCGAGGTAGTCAACATCTCGCCACCACGGCGCCCTTGGCAAGAGTCTTAAATCCAAACCCCCCCTTTTAACCAGAAGTATAAATGGGTTCAACACAGGCTGTCACGTGTGGTGGGGTTAAGTACGGGCGCTCCCACCTCTCCCGAGATGTCTGGCCAGTGTGGAAGAGTAGGCCAAAAACCCTAGAGTTGGGCTGCCTAAATCTTCTCTGGAAGAAATTCTTCCACCAGCAGGGACTTGAAGAAGCAATTGCTTGCATGGCTGCACCTTTACCTTCCCGTCGTTTACATGCGAGGAAGGGCAAATAAACGAAGGCACTTTATGTTACAACGCCTTTATTTACGTTATTTGGCAAGAGAGATGTGGACTTGGAATGCTTTGTAAGTGTCAGGGCAGAAATGAGGCATTGGAACACCATTGATCAACAATTATTGGAGGTCACGGCTGTAATGCTCCACTCGATAGTTAACGAAAACACGGTTGTATTTATTTTCTTTATAATGCTGTTAAGTTTACAGATGATTACCCTCGTGGTTCTGTTTAATCGTTCACTGTATGGCAATGCAGTATGGACATAAGCAATGATCGCCGCAATGCGCTATGATCCTGACTGCCTGAGTTGCATTTCCTTCCCAAGGATTACTTGAGTAGCCATGCCGCACCCCAGTCCCCCTTCAGTAACGCACAACGACGAGCGTGGTGAAGTATGGTCAAACAAACTCCGTGACCGGCAGGACGTAGGGAGGCCTTCATCCAGCATTGGATGAACAAGTTGACGCAGCATCGAATGCATTTCTCTGTCGTACCTTGGCCACCGATCATTTATTCACCCGTCAAAATAGATTATTATTTTTCTATGTATCACACACACATCGAATCGTGTGCGTGGGAATTGATTTGCTTGTCATTTATGCAAATGAAGTGGCACTTTTGCATAGTAATTAATGACCAAACAGAAAGAAAACAAATGAGACTGAAAACGTCGTGGAAAATATTGATTCTTAAATCTCGACGACAAATCTTGGCCGTCTATCAATTTGCTGTTGTTGGGGACTTGCTTCCTGATAAGATCATAGATATGATGTCGGGATGAATTTAGTTTTTGTCTGTGTGGCATTCGGATATTTCCTGTGAGCCTCTAGAGCAAAACGAGCACACCAGGTAATGCACGTGAGATTAACAACGCGACTAACCGGTTGCTTTGATCTCAAGTATGTTTTTTATGATACATTTAACACACCTATTTTAAACATATTGATTTATGTACGCATAAACAGGCCTCCTGGCGATGCAGTAACATTGCGCACAGAACAAATACAAGCGAAATCGTATATTTGCATATTTATTACACGGGTTTGGGCATGAAAAGTGCGATTTAATTTTTTATTTGCGAGCTGTTGGTTGCTGTGCAGAATTAATCCTGGAGGCTTAATGTACCCAGAGGACGGCCACGTTGGTTTGTGCAATTTGCCATTCCGCCATAAAGGTGGTGCTTTATTCCGCCTAACACCTCATACGTAGAGGTTGTTCTGACCCAGCTAGAGCGGCGCTTAAAGGCACACATTCATTATTGTGTTGTGAGTCGGACGTAAATTAACCCTGTGGTTTGCACGCATGTGGCGATTTACAGCACATTGTGTACAGAGGCTGTTTGTTTTAGAACTCCGTGGCAAATGGCAGCCTCCAGTTCTGGGGAAATGTCTAGAGACGAGTCCAGTTTCTGTTGGGTGCAGCAGCAGCAGCAGCAGCAGCACAAGCTGTCTGTTATCACGCCCCTTAATTTGTTTGGGATCCCTGCAAGAATATAAGGTGCCCTGTATTTTTGTAGCCTTTTGAAATAGTCACTTTTTTTCTCTCAAAAAAAATATATTTGACAGTGCCCTTGTGTCCTTTAGCAAATACACATCGCCTTGCTTTGAGAACAAACACCCACCGTCTGTATAAATAAGACGTGGCTAGTATACTACTACACTACAGTATTGAAATGTTTCTTTAAAATTAAAATTCCCCATAGCCATTACTTATCAGTTAAAGTGTACCCATTGCACTAATTGAGTTAATTTACTTTTGTATTTTTTTTGCATTAATTTAGTCCAAGTACTGTATCAGTTTGGTCAGAAGCACTTGCAGTGAATGCAGGAGCAAATATGGGGTGGGCAGTTGGCTCAGAGCACGGAGCCAGCACTGCTGTGAGCATGAGTTCAAACCGGGGTTTAAACACAGCAAGTAACTCATTCATCTAGAGAGTTTATCACATTATTATTTGTTTAAACACAACCAGTACGCTGTGCAATTTATTGCTTTAATCACGACGGCAATGAGAAATTGACCAATCATCGTGATGCAGGGCTTTCTTGACAAAAAAAGAAAACCTGTGGAGGCTTCTTTGTATAAGTCACCTTTTATTATTGTGTTGTATGCCTGCGAGACTTGGACGTTCAAAAACACTGACGGAGATGAGATATTGGCACTCGAAATGTTGTTGCTACAGAAGGATACTGCTGCTGCTGCATCTACGCTGGACACAAAGAGTGACCGACACAGACGTGAGAACAAGGTTGCGCATAGAACAAGACGACCTGACGCAGGCAGTGATGAGAAGGAGGCTGGCACGACTTGGACACACATGTCGGATGGAAGACAACAGGACAATTTCAAGTGTGTTGTTTGGAAAAATGGAAGGGACGGGAAAGAGAGAAAAGACCTAACAGAGCACGGTTTGACAACAACAGAAGAAGAGATTCGTGCCAGACAGATGTGGCCACTACGTGAGCATACTGGCACAGGACAAAGGAAAGTGGAAACTAATGACGAAATGTGCAGTGGACACCTACGGGGCTATCTGTGCTATCTGACCATGGATGTTGATGATGATGATGATTGTTGTTGTTGTTGTCGACCTAACTTGTGACATTTAGAAAGTGATCCGAGATCGCCGCATTCCCGTCTGTCTCGGTCGCACGCAGATGTGCACGCCCACCAACACGCCGGCGACGCCGCCCAACTTCCCCGACGCGCTGGCCATGTTCTCGCGCCTCAAGGCCTCCGAGGGCCTTCAGGCGGGCAGCCCTGGGTCGGCGGCGGCCGCCTCCCCGCCGACGGCGGCGGGCGCGTGCGGCGCCGCCCCCGCCGTGCCTTGGGCCACCGCGGCTTCGCTCGCGCCCGGCGCCCGGCGCTCCAGCAGCGACAACGGCTGCTGCCCCGCGCAGCCGCAGATGCCGCCGACCGGAGCCACGCAGCACCCTTACCACCGGCACCGCAGCCGCCGCCACCACCAGGCGAAGATCAACAGCTCCGTGGAGGCGGAGAGATGAAGACGGTCGCGAGGGTTGCACCGTTAACAGCGGCGCGGGTCACGGGTTGCCGTTAACAGCTTTAACTTTTGCGCGCGCGGTAAAATGGTGATGCCGCGGCCGTGCAGCATCGACTCTTGTTTTTGTAAAGAATTGGGGGCAAGAAATTGCACAGCGTATGGGTAGTGTTGTTGAGAACACTAAAATCATGCTGCCATAAACTCTCTCGGTAAATGAGTGTTTTTTTTTTGTATTGAGCCTTTCTGAGCGTAATATTATTTTCCACGTACTTGGCAAGGGGTAGGGGGGGGGGTATTCATGTTTAAGAAAGGTAAAGCAGGTAGCTCAGGGGTCGGCAACCTACGGCTCCGGAGCCGCATGCGGCTCTTTACGGGCTGCTTCTTGACGATATGTACGTATGTACAGTATGTACTCAGATGCATTGCGGCTCTTGAAATATTGAATTTTGTACCGAATTGGAAAGAAATGGCTCTTCTTGTTATTTTGGTTGCCGACCCCTGAGGTAGCTTTATCCCGAGCACCCGGCGTTTTGAACGTTGCTCGTTGAGGCAGAAAGCAGTACGAAGACTTTTTCACGAACATAACTCGAGGGGGGGGGGGGGGGGTTGCCCTCGAGTCCACACCTTTTTTCGATTTCTATATAAGACTCTGCAGACCGCTGTGGATATTTTTGCAATGTCTTGCTGTTAATGAAGATTTTGATGCATTATATATATATGCCTGTTCAGTGCCCTGAAGGTGCCAATGTGGCAAGCTTGCAGAGGGAACCGATGGGCTTGCTTTGCATCATGTTAAACATGGTTATCTATATCGTGCAAGGTCACAATGTGGAGTCTTTTTTTGTTTGTGTGGTATTTTATTTTATAATTAGCCTGGATTTGATGACATAGTGAAGCCCTCTGATGATCGATATCTGGTGGTAAGGAGGATTATTTTAATATTTTAATGTCATCCTCATTTCGTACCACAACAACTTCTTGTCGATTATTGAATATTCTACTAACACTAGGAAAAGTGTTTTCTGTAGATTCAAGTGCGGCAGTAATTCCACTCTGTCCACCCCAGCATGCGTCGACGATGGCTGTATGTGTGTGCGTAATCACCGTTACGTGTGCCGAGAGTTGAGTCACTACTATTTTGTACATTGCCTCTAAAACTGTGATGTCTGTGATACTGTTTTTTTTTCTTTCCATCAGAGTACCAATCCAGATAGAGAATGTCTGCTGTACTAAATCCCTGGATACAATTTGCATTGCGGATTTCTGCTCCGATGGAAATAATTTGCACAAACTCAAAAGGGATTGTTTTCGCCTCGCGCTGTGCAACTGTAATCCCTGAGTGATATCGGTTCTGAAAATATTGTTTTGTACCCACAACATTTGTGGATAAACGTTTTTGCCAGGTCTTTTTTGTTAGTAATTGTATACGTGTCATTTGTAGTTGTATGCATCAACAAATGTTGTTTTCTCTATTAAACTGAATTTTTTTTTAAATTCGGTTACAGTACTTATACAAAAAAAATAAAAGATCATGCACCTGAAATGACAAACCCCTGCTGTGTGCACAATAAAGGATGTGAAGTGGCATCGCTTTCGTGGTGAGTGAAGGTGTGAACGCACTTTGAATAGAGATTTGCTAAATATCCCAGTCCGTCGCTCAAAGACCTCCTGGGATCGATGCGTTGGTCACATCGGCTCCTGTCCATTTACCAGACCGAGTTTGCGGTTTCCCCCTTGGTCTTAAGGCACTCTGACAAGGCAGGCACAAAGCAATGCTTGTGCCCAATAAAGTGATGCAAACCTGGTCTCACACACGCACATTCACTGGGTTATAACGCACACACAATCCCAATCTTTCCTTTAAAAAAAGGAGTGCATTTCAAGTGTACCAATGAAGCACTTTTGATGCCATTGTTTTTTTTACGCAGAAATGCGATTCAAGAGCGATATTTGAAGCAGTTTTGAGTCGCCTGCTTCAACCCACACTGACCAGCATGGTGAAGTATGGTCAAACAACTCCCTTGAATGATCCATTGCAAGTGTCAGAGTATAACTAGCTAGTTATTGCACATCTACTATCTTTGCAGTAATGACAGGTTGTTGTTTTTCAAGGCGTACAGATGAAGGCCTAACTGGCATACTTGAACAATCGCCCATTCTCATGTCAGCATCGTCATGCGACATCTGCCTGTCCATCATGACACCCACTTGGGAAAAGCTGAAGGTGCATGCTTGCTACCATCATTGGCCGAAGATCACAATTCCACCCCCCAAAGAAATACAGATATCAGATCAGCTGCCGAGCATCGTCGGTAAATACGTTGAGAGCGCTGCGATCCACTCCGGTGTTGTCGGCCACGCTCTGGTCGTCTTTGCTCGAGTCTTTGGTGGCCGCAGTCCGCGTCCCGCTCGGCGGTTTTCATGCCGCAGTCATCGCTGGCTAAAATGATCAACGCTTGGAATACGGTTCGTCTCGTCATTCGCAAGACTGCACCGATTGCACGAACGCAACAATGTCGATGTAGATTTTTGACATCTTTCCACCCCAACTCGTCTGCCCTGCTCTTGCCACGACCATCATCATTCCTCCTCTTATTCCTCCTCCTTTACCAAGTCAATTCTTGAGCCGCAGAAAAAAAAATCCCACGATGGAGAATGGAACGCTGGGCCGGTGGTGATCCGTGGAAGGCTCACGAGCGATGCTTTTGCGACGCTGACCGGTTCGGAAAGGTGACGCTACGAATGGCCCCCGCCGCCACGTGTGTTTCAGCTGCGGGGAGGGCCCTCGCTTCAAACAACTTCACCTAGAGTCGTGTTCGTACGTCCGTCGGACCCTACATAAAAAAAAAATGTCAAACCTATTTTCTTCGTCAAGACGCTTCAAACCAAAATCAACGATATCACAGCGAATGCATAATGCTGTGTGTGCGTGACTTTTGGTTGACCTCAAAGAGGGGCCCCAACACCGTCACTACAAATAGAATGTTTGGATGCTGAGCATTGAAGGTCAGCAGCGCCTTGGCTTGCAGCTCTCCCCAGAGCCTCCCCATTCGTCACCAGCCTTGCTCTATCCGCCGCTGGCTGAACGCTTCCCCAAACTTCCACCATCTCTCGTTGTTGTGACAATCCGCCCAGCTCCTCCTGCACCCCTGACGATTGCATCGCTCCATCTCCCCCGGTGGACGTGCCCTCTCGGCCACGTTCCATCCCTTGGCTGCCACTCGGTTATTTTAATTTGTCTTGCCCAAGCCCACGAACTTTTATTGACGGGTCGGATTGCGTCTTTAACCATCACGCGACTCTCCCGTGCTCATCGCAGCAGCAGCGGCGGCGGCAGCTTCTGGCTCAGCCATCGAACAAACGGTGGTCACTGCGTCGCGCGCTTTCAGACGCGCTTCTGCGGCCGTCTGGAACGCTCTTCCCTCCGATATCAGGAAGCAACTGGGAGCGATGCACTTTTAAATCATCATCGAAATTGAAAACTAATGTGTTAAATAACTGATTTGTGTGTGTTTAGTTTCTTGTCCTTCCCCCGCAACTCCAATGTGCACGGTTGGCCACGTACGGCGTGAAAGAAGTTCAACGCAAACACGTGACCCACGTGTTCAAGTTCAACATAAATACGTGACCCACGTGTTCATCTTTTTGTTGTCTCTCGGTGTTATTCCAAGCATTCGTCTCTGCCTTCCCCCTCGGTGTACTTTATTTCGCGATTCATTTTTGTGCGTGAATCACCGCGCTCGTAAACGATATGTCGAGCATGTAGCGCGCACGCGCTAATTACAAACCGCTGCGGATCTCTCTGTTTGCGTGTCTCTGTGCCTGATGCTGTGTTGCCTCGGTCTCGATTCACTTGCTGCGCGAAAAGCTTCGAGTTTCAGACAACAATTTGACGAGGCTCGCGTGAAAACAACTCTGTTGTGGCTACGTTCTCGCTCATCATCTGTTTGCTTCTTATCGGCATGTTGGTCGGACGCAGTGGAGCCCAGGATCACAGTGTGCCCGCTATGTCCACAAGGATGTCGTGAACTTGGCCTCGCAGCTTTGCCAATTGGGGTGACCACAAACATCTCTCAACGAGCCATTAGATATTTCACAACAACTAAAATTAATCGTGCTATATTTAGTCAATATAAAGTTTGGAAAGCATGCTTTGAATGTAAACCATGATAGTGCTGTCATAAAAGCGATTTTAAAAATATAGAAATAGTCTTATCCATATACAGGACCAAGCTGGCTTGACTCAACATGTTGTACCATTGGTCTCGTGTTATCAACAGAGAATCGTTTTTTTTGTCTGTCAACTTTGGGATACGGGGAATGTGGCAGCTAAATTATTTCACGTAGGGGGCATCCAAATTGCTGACAAGGCGATCCAAGTGAAGACTGCGCTTGTGAGAGCCCAAATTCGTTTATTTCAATCTTGATTTGAAGCTTTCGTGACCGCAGGAATCCATACTAGTTGGTTCTTTCGTAAAGTCACGTAGGTAGAAACATAATAGATCACGACGTTTCGATCGCAACGCAAGCGAACGTCATATTTTGCTGCTCCTCGCGAGGACATCACGCGGGGTTCTGGGACTCGTGGTTAGCGACTCGTGCCACCTCGGCGTGGGGTCGTCTCCACGTGTTCCTCCATCCGCAGTGCAGCCCCCACGTGCCACACTTTGGGCAAGATGTGTGGAGTCACGTAGGTAAAAACTGTGATTTTATTGTTTCATTTTTATTAATTTTAATTTCATGTTTTACCTACGTGACTTTACCGAAAGAACTAAGAGTATGAATCCTTGCAGTCACGAAAGCTTCAAATCTAGAATCAGATGTGTGGAGTCAATGAACACGGAGACGTGGGCTTGTGTCACGCGAATATCTCGCGTGAAATGCCTTGTTGTTGTGGGTTTACTCTCCAACAAACAAACACACAACCCCCGTGTAGCCTTAACAGACTGTCGGGGCAAGTGCTGTTAGCGAGCACCTATGAAGGCCGGAACGGTACACGAGGGGGTAGGTGGCCAGCACCACGCCCGATCGCCTTTGTCTTCCCAATAACGATGTTTACGACACACCGCACCAGGTACTCTCAAACACACACACACACCGGTGGCGTGCTGAACGAGTATTCCAATTGGCACGTGTTGGTTACGTGACAAACATTACTAATTATCTGCGTAGGTGGCGGGTTGAACTACGCATTTATATTTACGCAATATAACCTCACCCCCCCCCCCCCCCAAAAAAAATACCTCTATTATGGATAATGGTCGCGAAAGGCCACTACCACCACCACTACTACCACCACCACTACCACCACCACTACTACCACCACTACCACCACCACCACCACCACTACTACCACCACCACTACAACGACGACTTGTTCAGCTGAAGAATGACCTTGCCTCGTGTTGACGTGGGTCAACTGCGCCCTGAGAGAGGCGACTTGCTGCTGGAGGTGTCCACAAGCTGAAATGTTTACCGGCGCGACCTTTGAGTGTGTGTATATATAAAAAGCTTCAAACATTCCGCATTTTATTGAAGATCAAATGGTGCGTGGCAGAATAAGGAGAGGCTTTCATTGTCGACTGTGGGGGTGGAAAGGATGCGTGGATCTATGTCTGTCCGACAAAAAAATAGCTCTCAACATTTTACCGTACGTTGTTGTTCATCATGAAACACGGTATATACTACATAGAATAATACTAGAACACAAATGCCGGCTTATTTAATTTAGATTAAAGTACTTATACACGCTACTTATTAGAATACAATGTATTAACACATGCTATGAAACAATCACGTATCTTCCATTGGATAAATTAAACGGTGCAATTTTAGTCGTTATTTTGAGTAAACATTTACATATCTATGACCAGGCAACGGGCGTGATGAGAGACGCACCATGATGCCCTTTGTGTTATTTCTGTGGCATTATTCTTACTGTTGTTAGTCACCACATCTCGGAAGCTCAACGTGGCCGTGTGTGGAGCACGAGACGATCGTGCACGATGGGCAACTTCCATTCAGCGGGTGCTGTGGGGGGGGGGGGGGTATCATCAGCAGAGGGCAGCGCAGTTAAATCCATTGTACTGTACTGTGCTCCAGCGTCTATGTTCCCCACCGTTCACCAACCCGCTGTGTCCAGCGTGGCCAATAAACCAACCACATGGCGTGGAAAGAGGCCCTCGTCCAGCGCTGTATAGGCGGGACCTGCGCACCACGTGGTGTAGTGACAGGGCGACACCTGCCGGCCTCAGGGGTAATTACGGTCACGGCTGCATCACGTTTACTGGTTTGGCCATGTTTGTTTGTTGTAGTACGGAGTTAGACTGATGGCCTTAATCTAAGTTGTCTTGTTGTTGTTTGACTTGCATCCCACTAGAATTTTTGCACACAGCGTTGGTGTACGGTGATTTTTCTGCAATATTTTGCTGTCTTTGCTTGGATTTTCTGTTTGCACTTAGTCACATATTCACTTTAAGATGTTTTCTTGTTCATGTTTTTGTTTTTTGTTTGTTGCGATTGCACCCGATTCAAGAGCCGAATGGCTCACAGGGCTCTACCTAATAAATGAACTTGAACGTAATG